ACAGTCTGGAACTTCAGGGAAGAAATGAATCCATCCAGAAAGATCAACTGAGCATGTCAACTCATGCAGGAGCAGCTGGCCAGCCAGACCAACCACAGGGCAGTGAGCAGTTGGGACCTCCCTAAATTCTTCCTCTCAGGACCCCTGCACACCCTTCCCCCTTCACTATGACCTGACAACTTCCACCCAGGCGGGTAGGCTGACAACTTGTAGTGTCATCCTTGTTCAATATGACCCGCCCCACCCTGCCAGACATTTAGAAAGGACAAAAATCAATGGGCACCTTGAAGACACCCTCAGAAACCTGCAGCTGAGCAAAGGAAAAGGGCTGGGGAGGTGAGCATGACCCAAAGGAACGAAGGACAGACTGATCCAGGGAACTTGGCCTACCCACAGGTGGCTCAGAGACAGCGCAGACTGTGAGAACTTACTTTTATTGCACGGTTAGCTAACAATGCACAAATGTCAAGAGATGCCATGGCTGTTGTGCAGCTAAATCACTTCAGATACACAGTGGCGGGTGGGCCCAGGTCAGGGGCTGGGACTCGATGTTGTAAGAAAGGCTGGCAGACCCCTAAAAAAACTACAACTCCTGCGGTGTCCCCTAGGCCCATTTTACCTGTGGGACAATGAAAGGATCCCAATGCCCCAATTAGAGTTGGGGCCTCCTTCAGAGAAAGATCTCTTGATGCAAGTGGCACATAAAACTTGCTTTTTAAGTTAAAATCAGTATTAGAACATTCTGAAAGGGCCCAGGAATTCTGGGACAGGCCCTTGGCTTGGAGGGACTTGGAACTGTACTGGGAAGGAGTGTGCTCTTGGGTAACGCCCCTGTGTACCTTTGAGTGTCTTTTCCTGACCACGGAATTAAAAGCCAGCTCTGCTGGGAACGTAGCTCAGTGGAAGAAGACCCTAGGTTCCACCCTCAGCACTGGGGGAAAAGCCAGTTACGTTTTTCTAAGTCTGAAAGTACCTAAGTTGTGCCAACACAGAGACAGGAGAGGTCCAAGCAGCTGCTCTTCCTTGTGGAAAAAGGTGATCTGTGATGGTTTAATTCAGAGCACTGAGACTTAGTGATGACACAAGCTCCTCTAAAAACCTTCAGTCCAGGCTGGGCGTGGTAGCTCACACCTATAATCCTAGGTACTCAAGAGGCAGAGATCAGGAGGATCTTGGTTTGAGGCCAGGAGGGGCAAAAAATGTTTACAAGACCCCATCTCAACCAATGGCTAGGTGTGGTGGTGTGAGCCCATCATTCCACCAAGTGGGAAGCATAAATAGGAGGATTGAGGTCCAGGCTGGCCTGGGCATAAACAGACACCCTATCTCAAAAACAACCAGTGCTAAGGAGTGGGGGGCATGGCTCAAGCAGCATAGCATCTGCCTCACAAGGACGAGGCCCTGAGTTCCAACGCCAGTACCACAAAAAAAAAAAATGCTGGGTGCCTGTGGCTCACACCTGTAATCCCAGCTACCCAGGAGGCAGAGATCAGGAGGATCTTGATTCAAAGCCAGCCCAGTCAAATAGTTTGCAAGACCCTATCTCAAAAAAACCCATCACAAAAAAGGGCTGGTGGAGTGGCTCAAGGTATAAGCCCTGGGTCCAAGCCCCAGTACTGCCAAAAAAAAAAAAAAAAAAACCTCAGACCTGGTCCCTACAGGTAGTAAGTGGATGAGGCAGAAATGGGCTGGGATGGAGAGAGAAGCAGCCCACATGGAAGCAGCCAGGTAGGTGTGGGGCAGAGCTCAGAGGTGCTGGGTCAAAGCCTGGGTGATCAAAGAATAGAAGCAGGGACAGAAGAGGATGCACACCAAAAACAGGGTGACATTCAGTGTCCCCACATGCTTCCTTTACAGAGGCCCAGCAGGACCCCCTACTGTTCAAAATACAATCGCAGGTGCTGGCCCTGGGCCAGAAGTACCAAGGAGCCTGGACATCACAGGAGTCAGCACAGGAGGAGAGGGAGCCCTGTCCTTCCCTGCTGGCCTCTGCATGTCCTCCACCCATGCCAGGCCCTGGCCTGAGGCCAAGGAGGCAAGGAGGAGAGAAGAGCAGGTAGAGTCTGAGATCTGATCCATGCTGCCCAGGCTCGGAGCCCGTCAGTGTGCATGTGAGCTCTGTGACCTGAGCAAGTTACATAACCTCCTTAACAGTTTCCCTCTGGACCCAGGTGCCAAATTCTCTCTCAAACAGACAGGAGGTGGGCGTGGGGAGGCAGCCTTGCTCAAAGCTCTCCACCCTTGGCTGGACTAATACAGCAAGGCCAGTGTGCCCTCCTCTGTGCTCTGGCAGGTCATGGACATGAGGGGAGCTGTTGTCCTCACCCCACTGCAGGGATGAGATTAGGAAGGACAATATCAGGGTTGGCATGGGCAAAGTCAGCTTTGAGACCAGATTCAGGGAATATTCTAGAGTGGCGTGAAGCCTTGGGTCCACAGCCTCGGGAGGACAGGTCAAAGCAACAGCCACAGCAGGCCTATGGCCACAGGCCACATTTGCAAGGTCTGACGTGCTGGCTGCTGGACATGAGTGTTCACATTGAAGTGTAAGTGGACAGAGTGAATTAAAATCCAGATCCTCAGCAGCCCACATTTTGAGGGCTCAACAGCCACATGTGGTTTGTGGCTCCTTTCCTGGACACTACCGATGGACAGTGCCACCGTCATGGCTCTGCTGGGCAGGGCTGGGCTCTGTGATCATTGCCCAGTGAATGGCATTGGGAGGTGAGGGGGAGAGGAATCAAGGCAAGTGAATGTGTGGGTAGGTGTGAGTGGGTAGAGAAGCAAGTGGGGAGCAGGTGGGGAGGCAGGTATTTCTCTGGACTCCCTGGCTTGACACCCTGGTGCCAGGATCACAGGAGCATCTCTCCCCACCAAAGGCTTTTAGACAGTGCCCTCTTGTGGCACCTGACACCAAGGTTCCAGATGGCGAAGCCCGCATGCAGGCTAGGATCCAACTTAGGCTACAATGACATCATCACTGAATTAACCAAGACCAGCGGTAAAGTCCAAGGCCCACGCCCCAGGAGCCCAACCAAACAGAGTGGCAGGGCCAAATCCTCCTTCATACCTGGAACAGAGCCACAGTCACTGCAAATATTGCTTAGTCACAAAAAGGCATGATGCTCTGGTACACCTTAGGTTGGATGGACCTTGAAAACATGATACTGAGAGAAAGAAGCCAGTCACTGAAGACACACGGGGCATGACTCCAGTCACACAGCTCCACAGCAGGGAAGTCCTTAGGGACAGGAAGTAGATCGCGGTTTCTAGGTACTGGAGGGAGAAGGGAAGACGGGTGAGTGTTTAACAGAAGAGTTTTTTTTTTTTAGTATGGTAATGAAAATGGAATCAGTGGTGATGGTTGTGCCACACTGTAAACATTAAAAACCACCAAATCAGGTGAATGTTACATATAAATGATATCTCCATTTTTAAAAACTCACAATTTTAAATGCTGCTATTTAAATACCATTTAAAGTAACACACACCTGAAACACATACTAAAACCATTCCAGGCCCTTGCCCAGTAGGACTACCATCCCTTGGCAGAGGCGAAGAGACACAGAAATGACTCTTTCCCCCATGGTCACAGAGATGAAGACTAAGTCCCTCTTTCTTGAAGGAAAATCACAGGTCATCATTAAAAAGTGGCCAGCTTAGCAGGGCACCAGTGGCTCACACCTGTAATCCTAGCTATTCAGGAGGCAGAGATCAGGAGTATCGCAGTTCAAAGCCAGCCCAGGCAAATAGTTTGTGAGACCCTGTTTTTTTTTTTTTTTACTTTTTTAAAATTTTTATTCATATGTGCATACAATGTTTGGGTCATTTCTCCCTCCCTGCCCCCACCCCCCCTCACCACCCCGCCCCCTCCTTCTCCCCCCAACCCCTTCGCTACCCAGCAGAAACTATTTTGCCCTTATCTCTAATTTTGTTGTAGAGAGAGTATAAGCAATAATAGGAAGGAACAAGGGTTTTTGCTGGTTGAGATAAGGATAGCTATACAGGGCATTGACTCACATTGATTTCCTGTGCGTGGGTGTTGCCTTCTAGGTTAATTCTTTTTGATCTCACCTTTTCTCTAGTTCCTGGTCCCCTTTTCCTATTGGCCTCAGTTGCTTTTAAGGTATCTGCTTTAGTTTCTCTGCGTTAAGGGCAACAAATGCTAGCTAGTTTTTTAGGTGTCTTACCTATCCTCACCCCTCCCTTGTGTGCTCTCGCTTTTATCATGTGCTCACAGTCCAATCCCCTTGTTGTGTTTGCCCTTGATCTAATGTCCACATATGAGGGAGAACATACAATTTTTGGTCTTTTGGGCCAGGCTAACCTCACTCAGAATGATGTTCTCCAATTCCATCCATTTACCAGCGAATGATAACATTTCATTCTTCATGGCTGCATAAAATTCCATTGTGTATAAATACCACATTTTCTTGATCCATTCGTGTGAGACCCTATCTTGAAAACACCCTTCACAAAAAGGGCTGGTGGAGTGGCTCAAGTTCAAACCCGAGAACCAGAAAAAAAAAAAGTCACACCTATAATTCTAGCTACTTACGAGGCAGAGACCGGGAGGATATCAATTCTAGGCCAGCCTGGGCAAAAAGTTCACAAAACCCCATCTCAACTAATGAAAAAAAAGCTGGGCATGGTGACACACGCCTGTCATCCCAGCTGTGTAGGAAGCGTAAAGAGGATTGTAGTCCAGGTTGGCCCAGGCATGAGAGAGAGACCCTATTCAAAAAATAACCAAAGAGACTGGAGGAGTGGCTCAAGTGGTAGTGCACCTGCCTAGCAAGCACAAGGCCCTGAGTTCAAACTCCAATGCCACAAAAAAATTAACCAGTGTAGAGTTTCACAAATAACATTTATTGACCACACTCACAACAGTCTCACTCAAATTCACACCAACCCCACTCTGAGAATCACACAATGGTATGTAACTTGGATCACATCACATGGGGAAACAGTGGATATCAGATCCTCCCACTGAGGACTTTGGCGATTTGGCGAAGATCTTGATTGTGAAGAACACTTTCATTGATGTTCTTGACAGTAGCTGAAAATTCCAGCTTCAAACCCCAAAAAACTGGCTAGAAAGCAAAGAGAAAGGCAATGAGTAGATACTACTCAGGCTGAGACACAGATGGTGGGGGATGCCCCTCAGCCATTGGGCTCCCCACTGCACTCAGGGACTGAGTGTGAGGGGTACAGGGCAGCAGCCAGGGCCAGTCTTGGCTGTGGCACTTCCCAGTGGTGAGGCCCTGGGAGGGTCACTCCACCTCAGGGCACTTACTCCTTCTAGAAAGGGAAGAACAGTCCCACTTTGCAGAACTGTGAAGGGGACAGATGAAATGAAGACCACAGCAGGTCTGCTTAGGCTGTCTTTAGGAAGGACTCCAAGCTGGCCCTCTCTACCCAACTGTCTGCCAGGCCAAGTGGGCAGCCACACTTCTCCTGAAACAAGCTGGGCTTGAGGGACCTCACAGGCACCCCACACATCCAAGTCAGACAAGACATGCTCTCCCCAATGGCTGGTTGTACAAAACCTCCTGCAGGAGGGACGCCACCCCACACCATGGAGTCTGTGGGAGCGGGAGGTATGGCTCACGTGGTAGAGCACTTGCCTAGCAAGAGCAAGGTCCTGAGTTCAAAACCCCAGTACTGCCAAAAAGAAATTATGGAGTCAGAGGGACAAGAAGTTGACAAGAAGGGAGGAGTGGACAGGAACTCCAGGACTATGCCTGTTTTTCAGGGACAAAGTGTCCAGGTTGTGAGCAATGGGCCCAGGGTCACCCACTGTCCCCCACACCCCACCTGCTCACCGAATGGCCATGATGGCCCTCAGGATGGCCTGCAGAAGAATCAGAAGGCTGAAGGGCAGGAGCGGGGCCCGGGGGTGGACTGCCCGCCCTAGAGCCAGCGGCTTGTCCTGGTGAAGAGCCTGGAGGTGCTGCCACTTGAGCAGGAGGCGCCTGTCGCCACAGATCCGCCAGCGCCTATGCCAGGAACATGACTCCAGGGGGCGCTCTAGGGGGCAGGAGGGGGTGTGAGGACAGGGAAAGACGCCAGCCTGGGGCAAGGACTGGAGGGACCGTGTGATGTGGGGTCCATGCCAGATGAGAAGGACAAAGCCCGATGATTTGTTGTTTCCCGAGTGGTGACGGGCCTCATGGCATGTGTTTTGAGTCTATCCCTCAGTGCAGCATTCTGAGCTATTGTGAAGGACATGGTCCAGCTGGGATTTGCTGACAAATTATTTTTTGAGAAGGGGGAAGGAAGGGTGAAGATCAGATGAAACGTGACTGGATAACTGGAGCTGAGTGATGGGCGCATGGGCTAATTAAACCAGTCTCCACTTTGTGAGCATGGTGGTTGTGTGCTGCACATGTTCCCGTCAACAAAGGACTTCATTGCCACTGGTCCATAAAACTACAGTGGATCTGAAAACCTCCTGTTGCCTACTGACACTGTGACATGCATTCCGCCTGTGTTTGTGACCTACCGCATGACAGCGTGAACATGCACAGACTTCTAGGTGCAGGCCTGTAATCCCAATACTCTGGAGGCTGAGGAAGGAGGGTTATGAGTTCAAGGCCAACCTGGGCTACACAGTAAGAAAACTTTCTGTGCCTGTCAGGATAGACACTTGATAACGACCGTGCTACTGCTTTACATCTTTTCTAGACTCTACCATCACTCTAGAGTACACGCCTTCTAGAGTACACTGTGAAACAGTCGGTTGTGTTCCACCAGCAGTCCCCTCCATCTCCTGTGTACACGTCTCTCGACTGCATCATTTTCCCTTGTGCTGGATTTAATCTCGTGTTGTTTTGTTCATCTGGCTCAAGGCCATACCTCGAGCTGTATTTATACCATGCAGCCTAAGTGTGTAGTGGGCTAGCCATCTAGGTGTGTCCGCCCCAGAATGTCTGAACAATGACTAACCACAGAGGAGCCTACCTTGTCTGACGCTAAGCGGCATGTAACTGTTACTTGAAATTTGGCACACCTTGTATTTTCCAGACATCCTTTGTTCAACAAAGGATCCCCTCAATAGTTTTTTACACTATTACTATGCTAGTGATATAAAATATACACCTTAATTATATCAATACAAAAATGCACTATTAATATGAAACATAATGTTTTCCCTATAAAACTTCTACCATCATGTAAAAACGATAAACAAAAAAAATTTTTACCACCAAAACAGAATAGAAAAACACAAAAGGCTTTTTTTTTACAAGAAAAAAGAATTTTACGAAAATATAAGGGAGGTGTAGTTCACATGGTAGAACACATGGTCAGCAGATGCAAGGCTCTCTGGGTATGATCCCCAACATGGGAAAAAATTTCTCTTTATACCATAAATCAGTGGATTTGAGGGAAAGAGAATGTCTCAGAAGTTTCAATCAGTCTGTATTGAAGCCAGAGGAAAGAGAGGTCCTAATTCTCCTGGAAACTATGAGACTCGCTTTCCTAATTCTGTGAATGGCTCCTGGCTTGAACAGGTTTGAGGCTTGAAATGTGACCTATATAAATCACCTAAAGTGTGGTCCCAGCTACTCGGGAGGCTGAGACAGGACGGTCACTTGAGCCTGGGAGGTGGAGGCCAGCCTGAGCAACACAGCAAACCCCAACTCAAAAAATAAATAAATAAATCGCTGAACCATGAAGACTAGAGTAAAACTTAACCCTGGTTTTTAAACGCATCAGTTGGTGCATGTGACTCAACAATAAGCTTTTCGTTGTTCCTCGCGATGCAAAGTAATCAAAATCAAAATAGTCACTAGATATAAACACGCTAGCGTGTGACTACTCGGTGTGAAAGTCGGCTCCCTGCTGCTCTCTTCCTAGCAAGGTGACTCTGGACTTTCACCCATTCCTTGAGCCAGCATATGGCCTTCTGTTGGTCCTTGCAGACCTCCCTGGAGTAAAGTGCCTGAGTCTTTTTTCTGCATCTTTTCCCAGCCAGGTCACCTGTGTCTCACCTCCTAGCCCTCCCTACACCAAACAGGGCTCTGGCTTTTCCAGAGTATATTAACAGAGTCCCATCTGTGGGCTTCACCATGCCTTGGTTTTCTAGGAACTGTGTGTTTTAGGGACCTCCCCAAGTTGTTCATCTCGGTCCACTATAGTCACTCAGCCTCAACCTCCAGGTATAGCCCACTTGTGTCCATTCTCCTACTGACAGACTCTGAAGTGGCTCCAAGGTTTTGTTATGAAAATTTCCCCTATAGTCTCCATGGCTTCTCGTGAGACAAGCTTGCTCAACGAAGGATGATGTGTAAAATTTGATAGATGCCTCCAAATTCCCCCAAAAAGGTAACAATTTGTGCTCCTGTTAATCATGCTACTTTTATAACTGGGAATGAGTTATGATTTTTGTACCACTAAGAAGTGTACATCAGGCTGGTGGAGTAGCTCAAGTGGTAGAGTGCCTGCCTAGCAAGCATGAGGTCCTGAGTTCAAGTCCCAGTACCGCAAAAAAAAGTGTATGTTGGATGGTGGCTATCCATTTCCCAATTCCCCATACCCCAGGCCCCTGGGAGTTCTGCTCAAATCACTCGCCTTCCCCAGAATGCCAACCCAATCCAGAGTCAGACCCCATCACAGAGGACTCACTATGTAGAGACGGCAGAGCACACACAGGAAGGACAGGACACCAGCCTAGAACTTGGACATATCAGTCTGCCAGCAAGGAACTAACTTCAAGATCAAGTCCAAGCCACTCACTTTATCATGGGTGTGGAAATGCCCACCTCCCAGAGAATGGGGTCACAGGGCATGAATATCTAAGTATGCCGTGTCACCAATGTGTGGGTAAGCTTTGTCATGCATATAAGAATGTACACTGCACTGTTGAGTACATGAATGTGAGCACATGCTATGTGTTTCATGAATGGGTGTGCATCTAAGTCACAAATATATGAATGTCTGCATACACAGCGAACACATTCACAAATGCTGTGATATAAACATGCAATGTGCGTGAGTTGCACAGGGGATATACAATTATATGATGACCTATAGAGATATGTACTACATCATACCACACACATCATGCCATCAATTATAGAAGTTTAGAGATGAAAAACACTTTAGACATAATCTATCCCCAGCTTGCAAACCAGTTTCATTGTGAAGCCACTGCTGAGAGACTGGTAGCCAGCCTGGATACTGGGCTTCCCTGGGTCACTGGGAAGAGTGAGAGGCTGGTGATGCCTGGCAGGGGTGGGGAGGCACAGCTATGTCATCTGCAGATGTCTGAGTGTGGGAGAAGTTTCCCCATCCCACCACAATGCTCATGAGGAGCCCTTCCCCAGGCAGGGGATGAGGTAAGACTTATATACATAGTTACCTTGCCTGCCTTTAAAACTCTGGTGCCTTTTCACCACCTAAAAGATAAGGACAGAATATAGGGGCATGCTTAACCCAGAGACCCACCAGAGGGGAGGCTTGAGACCTCCAGGCAGGGGCATGGCCACTCCCAGTACAAGCAGCCTCCTTGCTAAGAGGCCTGAGGTCTTTATGCTGTGACAGTTTGCACCTCAGTGATGGAAACCCAGTAAGTGGAAATTGGGGAGAAGGAAGAAAGGAGACTCTATCTGTGGGGTGGCCAGACAGAGCCAGAGTAAGAAATGAGAAAATCTGAGAGCCAGTCCTTTCCAGGCACCAACCTCATGCCATCTCTTCAGAACAGAGAGATGGGGAAGGGCACAAGGCAGAGTAAGGGGATGACAGGGAAGAGGAAGGCACTCAGGGGAGACGGGGAAGAAGGGCAGAAGAGGGAAGAAAAGATAGCAGTGGCCTGGGCGCCACCCAGTCCACCCTCCCCAGGGAATGGGCCCATACTTTCCAATGGCCACCAGGAAACCGACCTGGCCTCCCACTCCACACGCCTTCTGCACTTGACCTCCCTTACCACTGCTGTCGGGGGTCATCTGGCCCTGTAAGGAGGAGGCCAGGCCCCCTTGTGCCCCTTCACCTTGCACCCCCCACTCAGCCCTCGCTGTCCTGTGAGCCTCCTTCTTACCTTCTTCCATGACCTCAGTGCCCGGGGCACCCAGTAGGGCATCACAGCCTGACCCCTAGGCATCGGGAGGCAGCCCCCAAAGCTGTGGCATAGGCAGAGGCATATCTTGGTGGCTTTGGGGACATTAAACCGTGCCATCTTTGGGATCTACCAGAAGAAGGGAAAAAAAGATTCAAAAGGAAGTGGGGCCATCCAGCTCGGTCTGAGTACCAGGACACCCCTAGGATGCCTCTTCCATACCCCTCAATAGACACACCCAATACCTTAGCTGAAGGGGTGTCACTCACTCCAGAGGTAGGTGACACAGGACTTCAGATGTCCACCTGAACCCACAACTGCAGGGATGGGAAAACTGGCTCTATACTGAGCCTCGGGTCTCCAGCTGTGGCCTTAAGCATAGCACCAAGTCTCCCTGTGACTCAGTGCTCTCACTATGAAGGGCTCTACTGGCATTCTGACAAAATCTATCACACTACAACCACAAAACCTTTCATCCATCAGTGCCATTCCTTGGACTCATCCCACCTGCAATGGTTGTGTGTGTGTACAAGATATGCACTGTATCAGGTGCTTTGGCTCATACCTGTAACTGCAGCTACCTGGAAGGTGGAGATTGGGAGGATCATGGTTCAAGGACAGCTGGGAGGGTGGGAGGAGGAAGTTAGCCAGACGACATCTCAACCAGTAGGTGGGTGTGGTAGCATATGCCTGACATCCCAGCTATGCAGGAAGCATAAACGGGAGGCTCACAGTCCAGGCCAGTTTGGGCATAAACATGAAACCCGCTCAGAAAAATAGCTAAAACAAAAAGAGTTGGAGGTGTAGCTCAAGTGGTAGAGCATCTGTCTAGCAAGTGCAAGGTTCTGAGTTCAAGCCCAGTACGCCCCCAGTATAAAAATATGTGAGTGGGGGGGGGTATGTACACACACACTACACAACTCTTTTGTCAGCAGTGACTGAACAGTCCAGACATTCATCATCAGGACAGAAAGTAATAGCCTATCTGCACCATCATGGCACTCAGCAGCTCTGAGCTCTTTTGCTTTGATAGCTGCAAAGTGATCCCACCCACATCATCAGCACTCAGTGAGCCCATTGCCCACAGTCAGCCATTGTGCTGGAGGTGAACAGGACGCCATCCTACCCACAGGAGCTCACTACCCAGCACCATTCAGCAAGAAAGAAGAGACAACTAGAAGGAGCTGGAGAACATCACAGGCTTAGGGGTTTTCCCAAAAGGGCCATCAGGCCAGGTCAGAAGGCCTGGCTAGGTTCAGGCGGCACGAGAGCACCACATGCCTGGTCCAGAATCCTGAGGGTATGGATGCTAGAGCCAGCGTCACTGACGGCAGACCATGGGTGCCCACACCACGGCTACTTCCTGCACCCATCCCTGCTAAAAGAACCCAACCTTGCTCATGGGGCAAAATGTCCTGTACCAAGGGATCAGGATGGGCACACCTACAAAAGATGCAGGAAAGATCAAACTGACATTTATTGGACTTTATCAAAATTGAAAACTTCTCTCTGAAAGAAACTAATAGAAGACTATCAAAACAAACCAAAGACCTCAACAAATATTTACAAATTGTACATCAGCTAAAGGACTTGTATCCAGAATACATAGAGAACTCTCTAAACTCCAAAATTAAAAAAAAAAAAAACAAACAGAAGCCCAATTTTTTGGTGGGCAAAATATGTGACTGGACACTTCATCAGGCAAGACATGCAGACGGCAGAAGCACACAGAGAGATCCTCAATACCATCATCATCACAAGAATACAAAATAAAACCATGAGGAGATGCACACCTATTACAATGGTACCACTAAAGAATTTGGCCAAGCCAAGTGTTGGGGAAGAGAAGATGGAAAGGAAGTGGAACTTCACACACTGCTCACAGGAATGTAAAATGGTGCAGCCACCTTGGAAAATAGCTAGTGTTTTTCAATTCCACACCTCGGTGTTAATCCAAAAAAGTGCAGGCAGACGTCCGCCAAAGACTTGTGCACAAACGTTCATAGCAGCTTTACTTGTAACAGATAAAAAGTGGAAACAAGCCAAACATGGTGGCTCACACCTATAAATCTAAATACTTGGGAACCTGAGATCAGGATTGTCGTTTGAGGCCAGCCTGGGCAAAAAGCTTACAAAACCCCATCCCAAAGGAAAATAGAGCAGAATGAACTGAATGTGTGGCTCAAGTGGTAGAGTGCCTTCTTTGCAAGCACAAAGACCTGAGTTCAAAACCTGGTCCACCTGGATAAAAAAAACTGGAAACAAGCTAAACACCCAGGATGAAGAGGTAAGCATGTTCACAGCATGGAATGCTACTCAACGATAAAAAAGGAACTACTAATGCACACTGTCATGTGGATGAACCTCAGAATGCAAAGTAAGCCAAAGAGACAGAAATCAGATCAGCAGTGGTCAGGGGTGTCAGTGAGAAAGATCAAGGACATCCTCAGAGCTGTGTATGCTTGTTATCCCGACAACCTTGGAGTTCTCGCTGGGAGTACATGTGTCAGGACTGTGTACAGAGTACACCTTACCACATGTCAACCATGACTCCATAAATACACTGCTTTAAAAATGTTTAAAAATACACAAACTGAAAAAAAAATACACAAACTGACTCCCCAAACTTTTTACATTTCATTCATATATCACTAATAATTCTGAGGGTGGATGGGTCCCCTGACTTCCACCCTTGGCCCTAGATGTGATCCCTGGAGAATCACCTACCTGCTTCTGGGGCCTCAGGGACAGAGGGACCCAGTAAGGTAGTGCTGCCTCAGCCAGGGGCACAGGCAGGTGGCCCCCAAATTTGGCATGGCATGCACAGCAGATGCGCTCTCGGAAAACAGTCTGGGCACCAGGGTGCATCTAAGTGAGACCCAGAAAAGACAGAAATAAGCATGATGCAACATGTGCAATGTGAGCCAAGGATCTGTTTGGAAGGGTAAATCGATGGCCAGAGGGACAGTGTCCAGGGAAGGGGCAAATGTCCAGTTCCTACTGCAGTAAGAAAAAGGCAGGTCCCATGGCTGGCTGGTGGGGAGACCCAAAGCCTGCAAAGGGTGTAGGGGATTCTCAGCCACTCCCGGCTGCCTTCCTGTGAACAAGTCTAGGTTCCACTATGACAATGGCAGAGTTCAACCAACTCTAATAGCACAAGATCACTGATTACTCCTCTGAGCGCATCTGTGTCACTCTGCACCGTGTGCTTAGTGTGTGCGGGCCTGCCATCATATATGGGGCAGATGAAGGTGCTGACACCCAGAGCAGGTTGTTGGACTTAGACCCCTGCTGTTATGGAGGGGGAGGAGCTCGAGGAGGAGGGAGGTGCTCTACACAGAGATCTGGAGCTCAGCCATGGCCCCTACAACCACACACTTCCGTGTCCGGAATCGCCTTTCATGAGGCCCAGCCTCTGGAGCCACAGCCTCTCCTTCTGCCACTCCACAGGGTTGGGGCAAGTGGCTGAGGGATTGTTTCCTTACCGAATGACCTGTGAGAAGCACGTCTTTCCTGAAGGTTTGAAATGTGCTCTTCCTAGGAAGGAAGAACAGAGAAGCTTAGAACGTTCTGGACTTTCTGTGAACTTTGGAGCAGGCAGCTGAACAAGGGCTGGAGGCTAGACAGGACCACCCTTTCTGGAACTGATTCTCAGCATTAAAGACCAGGGGTGGAGGGGCCATCCTTCTGAGCCAGAAAGGGTGAAGGTGACAGCAGCAGCTGGGAGCGGGGAGAGGCTCACTCACGTGCTAGTGCCTGGGGTTCCCAAGCCCACTTCCTTCAACACACTCCAGCTAAATTTGAGCTTGGCCCAGCAGGAAAGACAGGCGGGTCTCAGCCTGGAGAGAACTTTCCAAGACACAGGGCTGCCAACCACCCACCTATGATGCTTTATCGGACACTCTAAGCTTATTCTGCTCCAACTACACAGCAATGAAATCCCTTCCAGTGCAAAGTTTTGGTGGCTTTGTCTCTAGGACAACGAGAGGGTTTGGGATTACACAGACTGTTAACTCATGCCCATTCTCTCCCAGTAAACAACTAGGTCACTAGTGATATGGAAAGCCTCCAGCGGGTAGAAATCAAAAAGCAAAGCCTGGTTTCTCTGTCAGCGATGTCAAAGCGCTTTGTAATGTGTAAACTACAAGTGACCTGAGTACAGTTGTGCTGTCGTCATCACAGCGGTTGTTTTGCTACTTAGAGACCTAGCTGTGGTCACCGGGCTCCACTTGCAGCTGTTGCTTGAACACAGAGGATGGAGAATGACAGCCTTGCTGTCATTTTCGGGGGCCACAGCCACCTCGCTGGTGTCGGTCAAGGGGACAAGCCCCCCACCCAGCCTGGAAGGTAAGGTCAGCCTGGTCTCAGAGATTGGTCATTACGGCGTCACGACCCAAGTCAACCCCAAGAGGCTGGGCTTATGGGGAGATGAGCTCCTTGCTCTTCCGGGTGGCCAATGTGGTGGCATGGAGACCTCAGGCGGTCTTGGCGATGCTCTGGCCTCAGGAGGGAGGCCAGCACAAAGCAAAGGAAGCTGGGGATGGGGAGGAACCGTCCAGGCTTCAGGACCACAGTCCGTCCGTGCGCACCTGGATACATCCATGCCTGAAGGCCTACTCCTGACATTGCCAAGTAGTGTGTGCGTGAAACAGAAAGTTCTCGTCTCCTGCGTCGCTCCTGCAGGCTGAGCTACGGCTTGCCTGGGCGGCCCCAGGGCTCCAGGCGCTCTCAGGTGTGGCCTCGGGTCACCTGTGCAGGCTCAGGGAGGGCCTCGCCTGTCATGATGCGCTCTGGTGCGAGTGCATACCATAGGGCCGAACGGAGCCCCGACGCCTCCGCAAGGGCCCGGGGCTGCGACGGTAAGAATGGAGCACAGCCCTCGCGTGCATCGTTTTCCCAGCCTCCAGGTGCTTTCACACGGCGAACCGCGCCGCCTTCCCGACTTGCACCTCGGCCACCCAACAGCTTCCCGCACGCCCCGTGCGCTTCGCTGATTGGCCCTCTCTCAGCCAATCAAGCGCTGTCTTGTAAGGATGCGCACTTAGCTAGCGGCTGATTGGTTCTTCGCGGCTGGGGTCGGGGTCAGCGGGTCAGAGTGGAAGGCTGGCCGCCGGAAGTGAGCGTCCGGCTTCACCCGCCGTCGCCTTTCCCTCTCCTGGCCTGCGTGGACGTCGGCCCCGAAGCCCACCGCCCCGACCCGGGAAAGAAGGCCTCTCACCACTTCCGAAGGACGAGCCTGTGCCCCCGCGGGGCTCTCCAGCCGGGATCTCGGTCCCCTGCAAGGAGAGAGAGAGGTGGGAGCGGACCGCGCGGCCGAGGTGGGGTCCAGCAGGTCCCTCATGTGTCCCTTAGGTACTTCTTTTGAAAGCTATTGGTTATCTGAAATTCAGAGATAACTGGGTGCCGAATTAGCTGCGTTTTCGTGTGCTGAATCTGGCAAGCCTACCGATGGGCGCCAATTGTGATTTTTAAGGAAATGTGTGTTTCTTGAGCAACTTGGGGTTTAAATTGAAGGCCGTGGTGTCCAGGGCCCGGCGCGGTTGCTCACGGCTGTAATCTCAGCTACGCGGGAGGCGGCGATCCGGAAGATCGCGGCTGGAGGCAGCCGGGGCAACGAGACCACATCTCAACAAAACAAGCCCAGCATGATGTAGGTTCCGTCTACAGGGGAGGCTGTAGGTGAGGTCGTGATCTGAGCCTCCCAGGCAAAAATACGACACTACCCAAAAAATAATAAAGCAAAAACGGGCAGGGGCTGAGGGAGTGAATTTGTTCAAAGTCCACTGTACGAAACTATGGAATTATAATGAACCCCCCTTATGCTACTAATAAATGCTAGTAAAAAATTAATTTTTACGAATTCTTCAAAGGGCTGATGCAGTAACTCAAGTGGTAAAACACCTGCCTAGCAAGCACTAAGCCCTAAGTTCAAACCTCTGTACTGCCACAAAAAAAAAAAAAAAAAAAAAGAAAAAAAAAGCCGTGGGATCCAGACATCTGTCATCCAGAGCGTCCAGCACGCTTTGGACCCTCTAGTCCCTTTTCCCTCTATCTCTTCCACTCCCTTCCTTCCATCCTGTTCCTCAGATGTGTGCTTTGGCCACTTGTTGAAATGGAGAGCTGATGCTTTTGTGCCTCTCCAGTTGTGTTCCTTAAGTTATCTATCTCAAACTCCAATTCGTATTTCTTGGAAATTATTAGGTCTTTCCCACTTTTCAGACATTTTCAAGCTGAATCTAATACTCTGAATTAATATCAGTATTTGTCCAAACTGTCTTGAGCAACCTTAGTGCTGATGGCAACCTCTCAGTACACTGAACTCCATCCATGGAGCAAACTAGATGCCCTCAGGCACTGCTTTGGTTTCTTAGCTCTTCCCATAACCATGAAGGTCATGACCTATGAGCAGAGCCAAGCTTCCAGCTACTACACACATTCTTGCTCTCCTCGCCAGGATCCCTGCCTTATTAGTGCTAAATATTTCAGCTGTCACCTGTTATCAGTGTGCATATGGCTTCTCTGCTAGCTGCACTTTTTCCCTGAGTCTACTGAAGCGTCACTGCAAGGCCTGTGATACAGGCTTGGATACCCTGGAGTTCTGGCCCTCACCATGGGACATGCTTTTGTGACTCTCTGTAAAGAACAGTTCACCACTGCCCCACCACACCAGAATGGCTAAAGTTTATGGAGGATGCCAAGACTGAAACTCCTGTACACTGCTCATGGAACTGGTACAGCAATATCGGCAAAGTGTCCTGCGGTCCTTAGAAAGCCTGAGCATAGGAGGCCCCTCACCCAAGATAAATGAGCTTATGTCCACCAGAACAGGAACAAAAACATGTACAGCAGCCCCCAAATGGAAATAACCCAAATATCTATCCATGGGAGAAAGGATTTTAAAAAGAAATAGTGTCCTCCTCCCCTTTTTTTGAGACAGGGTCTCACTATGTAGCCCCAGCTGGTCTTTGAACTTGTCATCCTCTTGCTACTAACTCCTGAGTGCTGGGATTACACATGTGCCCCACCATGACCACCAATGGTGGCATGTTTGCAAAGAAACACTACACACAGTGGTGGGAAAGAACACAGGTGCAACCCCAGCAACATGGATGAAGTATACAAAGAAGCCAGACCCCAAAATGTGGGTACAGTCCATGTGTGTGACATTCAAAACCAGAAGAGGAAATCCGTCATGACACAGGCTGAGATTCAAAGGATATTCCACCCTCCCTGCCTCCAGGGGTTCTGAGTATCAAGGGACTGGCTCCCCGTCCTCACTCTGCCTCTTATCAGGAACAGATGTCAAATGAGTTAGCCTAACTTCTGAGCCTCAGATTTATCTGTAAAACAGTGATAACCATAGAGCCAATCCAGGGGAGACTGAATCCAGGAGGCATGCTACCACTGAGCTATATATACCTCCCAACCCAAGGAAGTTTGAGAAGACCAAAAAGGCATAGAAAGTGTTTGAAAGAGAGCCAGGATGACCTGAGCATCAGCATACTTCAGCAAGGTAGTAAGTTCTCCCTACTGTGTTTCCCTGCTTCAGGCTGGACTTGGGAGAGGGAAGCAGTTTCTGTCTACCAAGATTCTCTTCCAAGCTTTTGTTTCCAATGCCCCTAGGTAGGGGGAAAAGAGATGTAGAAAGAGCTGTGAGTACAAGAACCAAACCGAGCCAACAGAAGCTGCTTGATCTCAGAAAAATCAGTTGCAGGTGCTCCCCAGGACAGCTCCCCAGGTAGCCTATGCCTGAACAGGGGCAGGACTGTTGGTCCCAGTTCTGCAGTTTGTTCACCCACTGTGGGTTCCCAGCTAAGAGCTGGGACTTGCCACATGCACACTCTGACCCTGATATGAACTCAGGCCCACACCTGCTCTGAGGAACCACCATACGTGGATTTGCACAGGAGCCAGTGGTTACCCTGCAAGTGAGGCCTGATGCCTGAGCAGCAGAGCCTCCAGACCAGAGGGTACCCATCAATCTGGCTGGACAGGGTGAGCAAAGCAAAGCATCCAGCTGGTACCTGCCCATCTCCAACACCCAGTTCTATACACCAACAGCTGCTGACACTTGTTACTGCTTGGTGGCTCCTTCTAGCCACCTGGCCCACATCAGGGTTAGCCCTTAGCAGCTTCTCCCCACTGCAGCCCAGACAACTCCAGGATGCATCCTACACCGTCTCCCAGCATCCGCTGCGGGACCAGGCCCCAGCTGCCCACACTGCTGCCCCCTTGCTGATGCCTTTGTGTTGGGCTCTTCCCCATCTCACCTGTCTACTTCCTGGATCACCTTCCCAAAAAACTAGTTTTACAGACCCTCATCTCAAGGTCTGCCTCTAAGGGAACCAACCAAGCAGCCCCTTCCCCCTCCCTCTGACATTCTCTCCTGCACAGAAGCTCCTTCTGATTGCCATGAAGCCCTCCCTGTGCTGCTGGCATCTGTGCCCCAGCCCAGCAAGAACCCAGAGCTGGGCTGGTTCACCCAGAGGCCAGAGCAGTGGCCCTTGGAGACCTTGGGCAGAGGTGGGCTTGCACCAGTCACTGTTGCACATGGTGACACTGGTAGATTGTGGCAGCAGAGGCTAAGTGATGGCTAATGAACTCATTAGAAATAGCCTTCAGAGATGCAGGGAGAAGAGCAGTAAGGAGGGCAGCCAGCCTCATGTTGAGTTTCAGCATTCAGGAAGGGAAGGCATATTTCTCTCCAGACCCTTGTTTCAGATTAGATGTGTCCCAAGAATGTGAAGCTCCCCATGAGAAGGGCAAGGGCCTGCCTTGCACTGCAAATGAGGATTCAATCCCACAGGAAGGAGCTGGAGTGACCCTCTGAGGGCAACTGAGGAGTCTGGATGGGAGCAGAGTGGGACGCCCCTGTGTGGACTCCATAGAGCTGGTTACCAACACACAAGGTCACCTCAGCCCCTAAGGCCCTGGAGGTGGACAAACGGGGAAAAAAGACCCATCCTCCAGGAAGGACGCTGTCCTCAGTGCTGTCCCCAGCAACCACCCAAGGCACCAGCATCCAGTATGCAAAGCAGGGGCCTGGACACAGGTTCCAGACCTTCTTGGAGCCTCCCCAAGGATGGCCATGTGCTGCACTTGCCGTTTGCTGTGTGCTTTGGAGAACGTGAGTGACCAAAGAATGAAAACTTGTGGCTTGGTTTTGAAGCTGACTCGTTACTCCAGGACACCTGGTCTACCTGGCCTTGTCTGCCCCAAAACATGCATACCAAATCCCCATCTCGGAAAGCACAGATATGATTGTCGAAGTAAGAATTTTTGGGTTTTGGCGGGGAGCAGTACTGGGGTTTGAGCTCAGGGACCTCACACTTGCTAGGAAGTGAGCCACTCTACCAGGCCTAAAGTAAGTAATTTTTAAGCCCTCTTTCTCTTGCTGGGGACATCTGGGTCTCTTGAGGTCACCCAGTGCCTCTGGCACCTCAGTTTGCATTTCTATCAAGTGCACTCTTGACTACAGTAGTGTTATGTAACAGAATGACACGGGTAGGTATCACTCTGGCTCAGCCCTTACCTCTTGGGGTTATTGGTGTCATCGTCACCCCTTTTCTTGCTGTCGCCAACAGTGATCCTGCAGCTCTCTCTTCTGATGGCCCTAGAACACACGCACCTCGTCTTCCTTCACTTCATCCCCCTGTACTCTGTGGGGATATGCTGTCATCACCTTCCTCACTGTCATCAGAGCAGTAAAAGGGCACAGCCACACAAGCTAGCTAGGCTCAAGAGTGTGCTACTTCCCAATGCCTCTGTCACCACTTTATCCCCACCCTACCCCATGGGCCTGAGGACCAGATTTTAGAGCTTTCAGTGAACTCTCCGAGAGAAGAGGCTGCCTACCCGCTGAGTCGGTGTCCCTCACACCCATAGCACCGAGGGAGCTTGCCTTCCGATGGAACTGCGGAACACTGGGAACAGAGGAGAAGCTCCATGGTGATAACGCCAGACACCCTGTTCAGGCAGCAGAGCCTGAGGAGTCCTGGGTCCACACTGGGGCTCAACAGTGACTTTCTCAGTGGCAGACTACAGAGTGACTATGTACCATAGGGCTCTAGGGGGATGCCCTCTGCCACCTGGGCATCCATGTGGGAACAACAGCATCCCTGAGTAGCAATCATTGAGTGTCCCGGTAGTTTCAGGGCTCAGCCACAGTCTAGTGGGACCTGAGATAGCACCCATGCCAATGGCCTGACGAGCCAAACCAGATCTGTCCCCAGTCTCTTCCTCTCATGCCCACTTCCTCACCCAGACTCTCACTTCCCAGTCAAAGCACCACGCCTCCAGATTACAGCAGCACCTCAGTGTTGTGGCCCACTTCTGCCATCCTCCCCAGCAGGCCATTTTCAACACAGCAGTCAGAGCCTCTTCTGAATCTGCTCAGAGCCCAGGATTTACCATGGGGCTCAGAACCAGGGTCCTCACATGGCCTGCAGGGCACTGGTTAATACGGGCACACAAATGTGTACACACATTCATACACCCACACAGTACATCACTGGCCAATTTCTAGCTGTGGCCTTGTTTCCTCCCACATTCCTCCTTACATGGTGCCTCATGCTGCCTTTGCACCTGCCATCCCCTCTGCCTGAATCACTCGTCCCCAGATGTCCCAGGCTGCCTCATACCCTAGGTCTTTACTTCTCACAGAGGTCGGCTGAGCCCTCTCTTCGATGTCCATGTAACAGGTGTCGCCAGAAGCACTTTGAACAAAGCAGGTGATGTGCCAAGTACCAGTATTTCATCTCACCCTCCACAGCAGCCTCTGGGGTTTACAGACAAGAACTGAGGCCTGCCTATCTTGGGCAGGTGAAACACATGGACTCTGCCAGTGCCCAGACTTGGCTCCATGGAACCCTTAAGAGGTGAGAAGTGTTGACTGGGCTGCTGAGGGTCTAGGGACAGGTTCCAGATTCTTTATGGAGCCACAGGACAGTCAGTTCCCAGCTCAGTCCAGCCACCTGCCTGTGTGGCTTGTCCCATGTCCAGCTGCCCTGTGTCCAGCTGCCCCGCCCTGTCCCTGCACTACTCACAGCTCTCCCCTCCTCCCTTCTCTGCTTTCCCACAGGAATATGTGAGGCTTTGCGCAGACACTGCTGCACGTGGACAGCAGGGGGTGAGCACAGGAAGCAGCTCAGCCGTTAGCCATTGGGGAGTGAGTTTCCATTGCCACCTGTCACAAGGCTGAAACAAAATGCCAAGTGCAGCACGAGATGCTGGTGAGGCTGTGAGACCATGGGGACTCTCATCCACTGCTGGTGGGAAAGCATAGTGGTGTGGCCACTCTGGGAACCTCATAGGTTCTTAGGTAAACATGCACTTTGCATGTGACCCAGCAGTGCAACTCCCAGCTATGTACTTGAAAGTAATGAAAAGCCATGGTTACATAAAAAATTATATAAACAGCTGGGTGCCTGTGGCTCCGCCTGTAATCCCAGCTACTTAAGAGGCACAGATCAGGAGGATCACAGTTCAAAGCCAGCCCGGGCAAATAGTTCTGCAAGACCCTATCTTGAAAAACCCTTCACAAAAATAGGGCTGGCAGAGTGGTTCAAGATGAAGGCCATGAGTTCAAACTCCAGTATCACAAAAAAATCATAAAAACCTTTATAGTGATTTTATTCACAAATGTCAAACTGGAAGCAACTGAATGCCCACTAACAGGAGGACAAACGGGTGTGTCCACACTGAAATATAAGTCAGCAACAGGAGTGCCACTGACTGGTGCCCACAGGGGTGGATGGAATGCAACACCCCCAGGAGACAAACAGCGGGGTGGGGAAAAGTTCTTTTGAAGTATAAAGCACATAGACATACTGCACATAAACAGTGTATGTCTAGAAAAAAACTTCATCGGGTGGGACAGGTGTGGTGGTGCATACCTGTAATCCCAGCACTGCAGAGGCAGAGGCAGGAGTTTGGGGCTTGCCTCAGCTACACAGCAAGACCCTGTCTCAAAAAAATAAAATATTCATGGGAGTGTTAGAAAGAAGTGCCTAAAAAGGCTCCTTGGAAGGATGATAAATGGGGGTGGGGAAGGCTAAGAAACATCCCCGGATAAAAGATGCCACACAGTGTGAGAACTCCCAACTGTGTGTGTCTGTGGACCAGCCACCCTAGAAAAAGCAAATCTGTGAGATAGAGATTAAGGAGGGGTCAACCATGAAGGTCAGCTCAAGAGGATTTTGAGGGATGTTGTGCTTGCTTACAACTGTAGGTGTTTGTCAACTCAAACTATGAAATGACCAACTCTTTAAAAGGCTCTCTGACTATGTGGCCTTGGGCAAGTTACTCATCCCTTCTGAGACTCTGTGCCCTCTCCTGGAAAGGGAGACCCTAGCCACACCTGCACTGCAGGTTGTTAGAGGATGAACGTCCAGCAGCTATCACAGGCCCTCCTCCGGCCACACTGGTCAAGGACAGAACTGCACGGATGCTTCCCAGGCCAGAAGGCCCTTCCAGGTAGCTGCCAGGCTTCATGGAGGCCATGCAGGTGGCGACAGCCTTAGTACAGGTTGAGACTTTCAGAGCCAGGTCAGGTGAAGCAGGAAAAAGGAGAAGAGGAAGAGGTGAAACGCATGCTCAGCAGACAGCAGCTTCCCAAGTCCTGGGGCACTGCCTCCTTTCTATCACCTGTAGACTTTCAAGTCACAACTAGGGGAAGACTTGAAAACCACCTTATGCTGGAGCTGGAAGTCGGTGCTAGGGCACTTTCCTGGCATGCCCAAGGCCCTGGGTTTAACCCCCACCACCGGAAAGAAAAGGGAGAGAGAGAAAAAAGACAAATCCAAATGGCTTCTCTTTGTTCTTCTCATGTCACTGGCTAGGATCAGTGGCACTGTATGCAGTGACCCTGAGTCGCCACTAGAGGCCAAACTGCAGAGACTCCCCTAAAAAGGGAGACAAAGATGATTCTGGCCGCTTGGCCTCCTGCCCACACATCCAATGAGGTGCGATGGGGATATCCCCCACCCCCACCTGTCCAATGAGCACAGCACCCCACCTCCACAGCCATGGCCCCATATGGAAGAGGTCTGCAGTCTGAGCCTCAGCCCCAAGAGGGTTGGAAGCACGGCCCGGAAAGCAGCACCTCCTCACTGTCTTGTCTGCTGTCCCCATCAGGAGTGAAAGCTGATAGCAAAGAAGGCCAAGTTCAGACTCCCAGGCCACTGATGCTGAACAGACTGGGGAGCACATCAGGGACGGCCACTGCTGTCTGCTCAGCTGCAGCGAGAGCCACAACAGATAGCAGCCTGGTTACTTGATCACCTGCTGACTTCTTTAGTTTTAAAATATTTCAGAGTGGGGATGTAACCCAGCATACACAAGGTCCTGGCTTTCATCTGCAGCACCTAAATAAATAAATAAATTTCAGAGAACTGTACAGAAAATGCCACATTTCGCCTGCCATCAAATATACATTTCCCCATTCTGACACCATGGGGCCTCATAACAGAAGGCCTCGTGTTGCTGTGCCTCGTGGCTACAGCAGCCTCGTGGCTGGTGTAGGGCCCAGTGACCATCACACTGTTAGTACAACTCGTGCGGAGAAAAAGCAGAGCTAGGACTGTGGTCCAAGGCCAGCCCAAGCAAAAAGCTCAAGACCCTATCTGAAAAATGAAGCAAAATTGGATGGTGGTGTAGCTCAAGCGGTGGAGTGCTTGCATAGCCAGTGCAAGGCCCTGAGTTCAAACCCCAGTGCCACCAAAAAAAAACAAAAACCAAAACTTTTTAAATAAAGATGAACAGATGTATTTAAAGTTCTGCCTCTATCCCCCTCCCCTTATGTTTATATTCTCCTGCATGCTTTTACACTTTTACATGTAAAGTGATGAAAATTAAATGCTGTTTTGTTTTTACACTCAACATAAACGTCCTGCCATCTTTTACTTGGCATTTTGTGGCACACTGGTAACACAGGGACCTGCCTTCACTGTGTGTGGAGGGCCCACAGGCGTCAGCCCATGCACTTCTGGGCCTCAGATGCTGCAGCCTCCTCCCACAAAACACTGCAGCAGCCCCCAAACCCCTGCCTGGGCTCCCCAGGGTAGACAGGACACTCCCTGGAGCACCTGCATCTTCAGCCCCACAAGGTGGCACCAACTGTCCCCAAAATGTCCCTGTCCGTGCTCCTGCTTCCCTGCATCACAGCCAACCAGTTTCTGCCTACTGGGTGCAATTTGCCTGCATTTCCACAGAAAACTCCATGCTAACAGTTATTAGTCATTAGCAACAGAGACCCTGGGATGAGACCTGGATGGGAAGAGATATCTGGATTTGTTAAGATAAGGCAGTACTTCAGGGAACAAAGGAAAGCAGATCAACGAGGTCCACAGCTGTATGGGCCTATGAGCACACCCCTACTCTTAACTGTCCTGTTCTCAGAAAACGGCACTTGGGCTTACCCACCATGGCTCCCTGCCCTCGGGAACTAGGATGTAGGCCAACCATCACCTGGGCTGAGGAGTCACTTCAACACTCTACCTGCTCCAATAGGGGAAAACCAAAATCAAAACACTGCTGAATGAGGTGTGAGAAGCATCAACCCAGGCCACCCCCTCCCAGGGTCAACGACCAGTGCTCCCCAAGCTCCTGCCTCCATCTGAATTACACCCCAAAGAAAGAAGTCACAAGGCAAGGCTTCAGAAACTGATTTACTTAAAACTGAAAGGAGAAACACAACTGTGCATGCCCCAGGTAACAACGTCCCAGGTGAGAACACTAGGCACCAGGTGCCAGCAACTGCTTCCTAGGAGTCTGCCTAGCCTTTGGGCAAACCCAAGCTGCCCTCTGAATAAATGTTTTTTCTCCAAGCCAGCTATGTGATATTAAGTAACCAGCGAAAGCAAAAGGTTCTGACCCCTCACCTGCTCTGGTTGGTCTCCTGCAAACAGGATCCTGCAGTACCAACAATTCCCTGCCAGCGCCTGGAGCACCACTCCAGCCCATGGAAGACTGGCTATGTGAGCCACTGGGCTATAAGTGACACAGCACTCAATGATTTGGCACAATCTCGTTCCCAAAGCATCAGAATGAGATTGTCTGCTCCTTTTTTCTCTCATATGAACTTAAAACTACAATCCTGACCCCAAAGACAGAGGACAGGGTGTTAGCTCAGAGTTGAGGGTGGTCTGCGGAGTCTCCCTCCACCTGGGCATTACTGAGGACATTCTTCAAAGTTAGGCCAGGAGGAATACAGCAGAGAAAAATGGCCTCAAAAGCCCAGCTGCTGTGCTCAGTCACTGTGTTACAGACCAGGGTGCTTGGTGTCCTGTGGGTCTTGCTATCCTGAAGCAGGGCAACAGAAACCAGGACTCCATGAAATCACAACAGCTGACAGGGGTTCTTCTTCCCCACTGCTGCTTCTGAGCACTAAAAGTGACCGGCTGGCATTGTGCAGATCTCAAACAGGGCGCCCGTAGAGGATCAGAGGACAGAGCCAGCTGGCTAGGGAGAAGACCTGCTGCCCAGTCACTGGTGTGCAGTTCTCAGTACGGGAGGAAGCGTAGCAGACAGTATCACTATGACGCTCATGAAGCAGGCGAAGGAGTGACTGGCATGGTCATTGCTCAGCAACCCCTTGCCAGGTGGGGGCAGGGAGGACCCCAGAAGGATGGGCAGGGACACTGCCGAGCTGACAGCCCTGGACGGCAGCTCAGGACCTTAAGCATATGCCACAGGTGGCCAGCAAAAACCGTGAGCCAGGCATCAATGGGTGCCAAAGGGACCCTGATAAGGTCCAGAATGAGGAAAAAAGGAGCCTAAACTCCCACTGCAGGGCTCACAAAGCCACTCACTCCACAATGGACACTGGAGGTCTGAGCACAATAGGCTGACATATCCTCATGTGCTAACATCCCTGTGCAAACGTCCAGCCCCAACATGGAACACTTGCCAATGCCTGTGACTGAAATCCCAATCGCATCACTCTGTACAGAGCAGAGCAGGTTCAAATATGCAGGGACCCACGAAGTTCTTTTCTCTCCAAACTGCAGTCAACCGACTATTCCCAACCACAAAGAAGCAAACTGGTACACAAAGGCAGTCAGTCAGGTGCACAGCATCGTGGCCTAAACTGGGCTACTCAGGGACCAAGTGAACTACAGGAAGCCTGATGAGGGCTCCTGGGAGTCTCCAGGCACTGTAGTCTGTCTTCAGCAAGACCTCAGGCTGGGTCTCAGATGCAGGGGCTACTGCAGAATGGGGCACAGGGCCAGTGAAAACACAGGCACTTGGGGTCTTAACCTGGAGGGTCCCCAACAGGTCCTGTCCTCCCAAGTACAACACCACCTGTAGGTCTATCTAGAGTGCCACATGTAGGTATGACGACCTAGACACTGTGCTCTCACCTTCAAGGGGCTTCATAGGCAACTCATGTCACTACTACCAACACTTTAGCACTGCAAGAAAGGCACCCAAGTGCACCACGCAAATGAGAAAACCCAGCATCAGGACAGACTGTGGAGACATGTGCTCCCAACGGGGGATAGGCAGCTCTCCACAGCGTGTGTGCAGGGAGGGAGGGCAGGAGAGAGGGAGGGGCAGGTGCACAAAAAAATACCCTGCTTGGAACTGGCTGCTTGAGAACAGCAGGTGGCCTTGGTTCTAAGCTGGAGAGTATCTGGGACAGGCACACAAACCACTGGGACAGAGCTCTGTGTGTGCAGTGATATATACCTAGTGACCGTATCCCTAATCCCATTTCACTGATAGGGACACAAGTCACAGTGAAGCGCCTAAGCAAGTCACTAGAGAAACTTGATATTCTGTGACTCCCGAGAGCTGCTTTCTGCACACGCCATCCCTGTCCATAGTGACTTCCGTCTCTTCCTCATCACCTCCCAGGGGCCCCTTCAGCCATGCCATGTCTGCTAGGCTAGTCCAGCAGGGCAGACATGAGATGTGGAACGGAACATCTCATCACGGCTGCAGCATGAGACCTCCCTGAAGGAGGGTCTTGTTTTCCCTGCAAGGCCACCGGCGCACCAAGGACACACACGAGTTCTCCACATAATTCTCTCTGCCCCACGGCCACTCGTCTACATCAGATTTATTCTGTTCATTCACTCTTTTGTTTTGTTTTGTTTTCTCTGTTGACATGCTCACCTCTCTCCTTCAGGGCTACGGACAAATGTGCAGGAATATATTACACACTATACATAAAGTGTCCTGGGCTGGGCCAGGCCCCTGGTGAGAAGGTGCGTGTTCTGGTAAAAAGGCCGCATTTCCAAAGTGCATGCTGCTTCCATTCACGGTGGCAGGGCCATGCCCAAACCAGCCCGTGACACAGATGTGGCCATCAGGAGGTGAGGGACTGAATGTTCTTGAGCATCTCATCGAAGGCCTGTGGTGAAGGTGCATCTGCGTTCCGGAAGGCAGCCTGGACCCGGCTGTACAGGCTGAAAGACTTCAGCTCCAGCCAGAGGAAGCCAAAGCGGTCCTCATCAAACAGCACAAAGACACCAGGTGTGCGCTCAGGGCTGGTGAAGCCATGGCCAGCAATGAGGCCTGTGCCATAGAAACTAGAGAAACAAAAGGAAAGCGTAAGGGGGAGGGGCCCAGAGAGCACAAGCACCCACCATCCTGGTATCCAAAGCACCCTGCACATAGCAGCCACAGCCACAAATTGGCAGGCCAGCAGCACCCAGAGGGCCTGTCTCTGTAGGACAGTCTGGAGGCCCTGGCTGACCTCTACTGAAGACAAGTTTGGCAGGCACCCCAGATGCAAAGGGCCAGGACTCTGGGCCACTCAGGAAGCTTGGGGGGAAGAGCCTGGGATTCACTCAGTCCTGGGCCTTGCTGACTACTACATCCATCTACTCCCCCAACTGAGGCAGGAGTGCTAGGCAAGCACACCTGGGAAATCTGCTCCAAAGACATTCACAAAGCAGGCCCAGGGAAGCCAACCTTGATTTTTGGGACAGTGTGTTACCGTAGGAACCATTCAGATGTAACAGAAATGGAGCCTACAACCAACATTAACTAGAACTGGCAATGGCCCACATAGGCATCAGACTAGCATTACTACAGCTCTGTTCCTCCTAGTCCTCCCGGCAGATGAAGAGTTAGAGATCAGCACGGAACACCCCATGTATGCAGTGGTGCCAGGGCTTCCACCTGCACCCTGGCCACACGGAGGGTCCCCAGGTCAGCCCTGTGGAGTAGGGGCTGTGCCTCAGGGGCTGTGCCTCAGGGGCTCCTCAAGTCAAGGAGGAAATTCATGGCCCCTGGGCAAGTGAAACAATGTCCACTGTGCCTATAACTCAAGCCACAGGGATTTCCTGCTGTGTCAAGACACTAACCAGCCAGGAGGGGACACACACACGCCCCTCCTAGGCACAGGAGCCCAACATCCAGCACAGACTAAAGTGGAGAATTATGGGAGAGTTTAGCCTGGCAGGGACCTGGACCAGAACTGGCCATCCAGCCACAGCATGCACTGATGAGCTCTAAGCTGGCCGTGGGGAATGGGAGTTTAGAAACATGGCTGTTCAAAGCTTTACAGTGGCTGAAACAACACAGGGCTGCTATCTGCACCTCCCAGTGCAAACCACATCCGGCCGCACCGTCACTCTCATGCATGGAGATGCACCATGATGCCTTCCCACCAAACCCTCAGATGCCCAGGTCCTCTGGCAGCTCAGCAAGGGGTCCACACTCCACCCTACTGTGTTGGTTTTACTGAGAAATCCTGATAGACTATCATAGGCCTTGCACAGCAGCCACCCAAAAGCAGAAGGAACACAGCCAGAAAGGTGAAGAACTGACACCACGAGCCTGACAGACTATCAGCAAAGTCTTCCACCATGGTGCAGTGTTCTAGATCTGGACTGTCCAGTACAGTAGCCACCAGCCACAGGTGGCCATTCAGCAAGTGAAATGTGGCCCGTGAGACTGAGGAACTAGGTTTTTCATTTTGCTCAATTTTAGCAGGAGACTGTGCGGCATGAAGGGTGCACAGGGGTCACGTGTGCAGGGGCCCACAGGGGCGCACCCTTCCTCACCAGAGGTGGAGGCTGGCATGCACAGCAGTGGCACCAAGGGGCCAGCCACGAGCATAGGCAGTGAGCGGGGGAGGAGAGAGGTTACAGGCAAGCACTGCACTCATTAAGCAGTGCTAGATGCCACCATGAGCCACCCAGGAGGACATGCAGGCAGGAGGGGTTGGGGGAGCCTCTGTGCTTCACTGCGTGTCAAAGCTGCAGGACACACTACCTCCTCTGTCTTACTTGGCCAACTAGAAGTAAATCACTTCAGAGGCCACTGGTGGAGTCACACGTGCACGTGAAGTATCTGGAGGAGGCCCCACATCCCAGTGGTCATCACCTCCGCCCTGGGGCAGCGATAGAAAGCCCAAGGAACAGCGCCAGAGGCTCAGATGCAGGGGACTGAGGCAAAGCCATGGGAGCTCCCCCAGGCCTCACCGGCCCTCCACCTCAGGGTCCTTACCACGTCCTGCAGGTGCGGGGGTAGTCCTCACTCCTCGAGCTCACGCCCACAGGCAACACGAAAGGCTGCCCCTGCCCAGACTGAGCTGGCTGCTCAACTGCGGCCACTCCACTCCCGGGCTCCCCGCTGTCCTCAGCAGCTGCCCCACTGGGCACCTGGGCAGATGGCTGTTCCTGGGGCAGGGCAGGGCCCTCACTGGCCTCCTGCTGCTCCTGCCGCACCTGTTCTCGGACTTCCAGGACAAGGCGCGACAGCTCATTGAAGTTGCGGAGGTTCTCCACATCTGGCAGCTGGATGCGGTGCCTCAGGTCGATCTCCACCGTCTGCTGCCCAGCGGGGATATTGGGGTCACCCTGCAGAGTGGGCGGACAGCAGTCAGTAGGGCTCAGAGACCACAGAAACACTTCCCAGCCTCCAGTCTAGATCCACTCTGGCTGGAGGAGCACACTCCTTAGGAAGGAAAAACTCGGATGCCCTTAATCAGCAGGACCCAGAGAGTGTGGCCATCTGTGACAGGGTCTCTGAAAACCAGGAACAGCAATGCCGTGAGTGACGGGAGAATGGTGACTGGACACCTGCCAACACACATATGCTCACCTGTGCTCAGAGAGACCCAGATAGGAACAAGCCCAGTTTATAGAGACATCCATGGACCTTCTAGGATCTGGCAGGGGTCAGCAGGCCCAAGGGGACACCTGTCCGCCTGGAACACCTCAGCCCTGAAGTTCCATGGGGGACAGGGACCCAAACCCCTACCCAGAGGAGCTCAGAGAGGGGAAGAGATGTGGCCCTGCTTGTCCCCGTTCCACAAAGAGCTTCCTCCAAAGCAGAGGGACCACCAGCCTAATAGGAGGATCAGGACATACTAGCGCAGTCGGTCACGCCCATCCCTGTAACTCAAATAATGACCTCGGCAAGGAGCATCAACAAGGCAGTATTCAGGTCAGGAGAGAGCTTTACTGTGAGGTTCCCAGTCCAGCCTGGCCCTGGAAGCTTCTTGCGAGCTGCATGCTAACTCAGAAGATTTCAACAAAGCTGCACCCTAGTGTCACCTGGACACCTTGGGTCCCCTTCCCAGCCCCTAACAAAATCAGGAACTGTGGGTTAGACCCTGGCACCACTATTCTTCAGCCTGCCCCACGCATTACTGGGTCAGACCAAGGCTGACCACTGGTGTAACAAAGCCACCTTGAACACACAAAATCCAGGACCTCGTAAAAAATGTGGATTCTGGTTCATCAGGCCTGAAGGGGGCCCAAAAATGAGTGCTCCTGAGGGGCCAGGGCTGAGGGTCTTGGGTCCACTAGAGGCAGCCAGGGTACAGTGGGCCCTCATTTGCTCACACGGAGCCCACATGTGCTGGCCTCACCAGGTGGCCATGGCAGCTGGGCACTGCTCACCGTGATCTTGGTGCCCCTGGCACGCCAGCCATGGAAGCTGAGCATCACAATCTCCAGTCCATGGCTGCCATAGGTGCCCTTGAAGAGGCCGGGCTTGATGAGGTCATCGGGGTGACTGGGCGGGAGATAGATCCGACGGTAGGTCAAGCAGTTGCTGTGGGGGGAACAGCCAGAGGCTCAGCTTGGCCAGAGCAGGCATCCTCCAGACCTGGGGGTGGCACCGGGCTAAACCCTTCTTCCCACTCCCAGCCTGCAGGCACAGCACGCCTGGCCCCATTTGCAGAGTGTTTTCAGCAGGATAGAAAGGAAGCACCACTCCTGCTCCATTACCCTCAGGAAAGGAGCTCAAATCACTGTGAAGGGAACAGGCTCTGGGACCCCAGTAGAGGCCTGAAGACAGGCTGAGCCAGGCCTCTTAGGGCCCATCTAGCTCCAACACACACACTGGACACTGGTGTGCCTATGCTGGGGGTGACAGAGACAAATCAGGCAGACAGTAGTCACTGAGGTGGGAGCAGGGGATGGGGTTGCACTCACGACACCCAGAGTGAGAGGATACGCACCAAGACAGACTACACTCTGGGCAACCAAAGATCAAGGACTCACAGTATCCCCAGGAAAGGGGGACTATGCTCATAGCACCTGCAGAGGACTGTGCTCACAGTACCCAGCAATGGCCCACGCCCTGGAGGCCCTCACTCACTCGTACTGACTGGTGTAGATGAACTTCATCAGGATCAGCTCCTGCATATGCTCGTGGAAGATGTCCTCCAGCGTGCGGCCCCACTCCTCCCTCAGCCACGTCCGGAACTCCTTCCAAGAGAGCGCAGGGCGTGAGCAGCACCATCACCGTGAAGAGCTGGCTGACACAGTGACACACGTGTACAGGCAGATCCACTGTGTGTGCCACGGATCCCGGGCCAAAGGTGGGCAGGCTGGGGCAGGGGGCAGATTAAAAGCAGGAGCTGCCATGCACCAGGGGCCTCCTGCACCCAAGGTGGGTGTGCCGAAGAAAAGCAGCAGACTCTGGTCCTCAGGTGTCCCTTCAGGTGAGGCCACAGGCCCTGTCCAGGCTCCCAAGTAGCACCCTCAGGAGCCTCACTTCTGTGCCCACCAGTGGGACAGAGGGGTGTGTTCCTGATCCAGCTCCCCACTGCACAGTCTGCGCCTGCTCTCAGGATGCTGGGAAAACCTGGATGCAGTAAGACAGCTATCACTAACCCCATCACGTGAGTGACCAGGGCCATTTTCTGCAGCTGCCCATGAGGAGGTAGACTGAGGAAGGTTCTTTTTCCACAAGACTTCAAGGGTCTCGAGTGTCAGTTCACGTACACATGAGAAGGAACTTTTGTAAACACAGCAACCCCAAAGTGCCCTAATTCTGAATTCTGCAATCAAACATCCAATGGTGCTCAGGACACTCAGCGCCCAGAGTCTGATTCTACACAACTGACATAATTTATCTAAACCCTGAGGTGGACAGAGCCAGCTCCAAACACAGATGTAGATGGAGGGAAACAATCCCCACTCCACCCATGCACTCATGTGTCACTGTCCAGACTGAGGAAGGACAAGAGTTGCTGCAGAGACGAAAGGACAAGACACAGAGCAACTCCCTTTCATACACAAGCAGCACAGAGCAGTCTTCATGTGTTCTATTCCCTGCAGTACCACCAAAAAAACCCAAAAGGACACCAAATGGAACATGGAATGGACAAAGATGTCATCATCACCACACTGAGTGGATTTGAACGAAATACTCCAAGAGACCTGCGCAGAGCAGCAATCCTAACCGGTTAGTGGGCACAAGGTCTTCAAAGTACGTTATTACAAATCGTCTCGACGGCAAGCCACATGCGCACAGGACGCAGGGGCCTGGAACACAGAGGACGAGAGGAGCTTTCCGCCTGTCTAGGACCGCTCACTTAGCAAGCCCCTCCTATCTTCCCAGCAGCCCTCAACCCTGACAAGAGGGACAAGGGCCCCTGGCAGCCTGGCAGCACTCTCTCCCCATCTGCACTCCTCCCCCAGCCCCAGATCTCCAAAGGTCTCCTTCTGGGAGAGGGAGCCCCTGGGCAGGCAGGGGTGGGAAGAGGCCTCGCAGGGCTTCGGTGAAGAAAGAGCAGGCAGCGTTAACACCCAGGTCAGTCTCTAGTGGTCTGCATTTCTCACTAGGACCAGAGTCAAGGAAACCCACGAAGTCCTGAACACGAAGCACCGTTCCTGACCTTGCTCATCCTAGCCTCACTCACAGCGAGAGAGACATCAACAGTGTCAACCGCTGTCAAGATTCCCACTGCAGGCTCCGACATTTCTCTGGGTCCCACCAGGATGTGCCTTCCACATTTACAATCAGGAGATTACTACTCAGGTTCAAAGCCAGCAAGCCCACAGAGAAGCTGTTCACAGGGGCCTTTTCTGATCCAGGATTGTGATCTACAGGCCTCAACACCTGATGAATGTCTGGGAAAATATGCTTACATTTTTCACTTAAATGTGGGCTACAATCATCACCTAATATAAATGCTATATTATGACTGTGTATAAAAATCAAACTGAAAATGACAGTGCTATAAATGATGATTGTCACCCTTCTTACTTGCCATGTACGCAGCAAATGGGCCTCATTTATCTTCAAAGGACTCAAGAAGGAATGCATAGCACTGTGTAATCTTAACTCTTCATGAAGTTCTCTGCTAAAGGAGAAGCCACCAAAAATGAGCTAAGAAATGCATACATAACAAAAAATATAGCTACAGTGAGCATCTTATACTTGACAAGTTCAACTTCCTAAACATGTTTTGAAATAAGCAAGGCACAGTGGCTCACACCTGTAATCCCAACAACTCAGGAGGCAGAGATCACAAGGATCCAGATGTGAGGCTAGCCTGGGCAAAAAGTTATCTATACCCCATCTCAATTAATAAGCTGGGCAAGGTAGTATACAGCTGTAATCCCAGCTGTGTGAGAGACATAAATAGAAGGACTGAGGTTCAGGCTGGTCTAGGCAAAAAAATAAGAGACCATATCTGAAAAATAAACCCAAAAGAGCTGGGAGTATGGCTCAAGTTGTAGAGCTCCTGCCTAGCAAGCAAGAGGATACCCTGAGTCCAAATCCCAGTACCACTCTCTAAAATTTTTTTTTTAAATCTCAAAAACTAAAACTCAAAGGCTACATAAAATTACTCAGACAACAGGAAGCCCCCCGCCACACACCCATTCTCCACTGCATTTCCTCAGTTCAGAAATCTCAGCTCCCAGAGAAGACGACGACAGGAGCCCCTGTGCTAACGAGCGCTGGCCAAGGCATGGGGGAAGCTGGTTAAGATCTGGCTACAGAGAGAGTGTGCTTGCCCACTTCGCCCTGAGGAGGCGGGGACAAAGCCGCATCCCCTCGCACACATCACACACGACGCGTGACCACAGCCTCACACGTCGCCTACTCTCTGCCCAGTGAGAATGAGGGGCCAGGCACAAGTGTCTCCACGTGCCCCTCCCCCTCCCTCCCAGAGGTCTGGGCTCACCTCCTGCCTCCCGCCTGACATCCTATGGTGGTCCGTCTGGTTGCACTTGGTGGAGAACTCGTCTTTCTTCACAATCTTCAGCGTTGCAATGGAAGGAGAGAGGATGAGGACAGGTCACCCCACCCGGCAGGGCAGCCACAACTGCCCTCCCGTCACAGATGCAGTCAAGTGGGCCGCCCAAAGGAGGACGCTCAGCACCCACCCCCAAGCTCACACCCTTCCAGACACCAGGTGGGCATGGCTTCTCCCAAGCAGGGCTCAGGGCAGAGAAGGAGCTGTGGCCAGTGCTGGGCAGCACAGCACACTCACAAAGCCAGCGTCAGAGAGCAAGCGCTTTATTCCAAGCTGATGCTCTTACAAACGGGAGGAAAAGAACAAAAGGCTGCACTGAATGCAGAAGTCTCAGGCACTCTGTCACACCAGGACACCACATGCACGGCAGGGCAGGCAGTCCCTTCCTCCTGTCCCTGCTGAGCTGTCCTGGCAGGGTCTGCAGTTCACACCTGGCCCCAGGACGGCACTGGGATGGGAAGGCCAGAGGAGTTCCTCTCCCACTTGCCTGCATGCCATGTCTAAGAGAGCCCAGCTCTCACCTACCTGGATGTGGCCATTGTGAGGCCCTTTGTGGCCGTACATGCACTCCACCGTGGCTGACTTCCTCTCCATCAGGTGGATTCTAAACAGAGGTTTGAACCTCATGGGGTCATCCACGTGAGGATCGTGGGGAGGCAGGTACATCCAGCCAATGATGAACAGACCATCCACCTGCAGGCGGAGAGGGAGCAGAAGCCACGCTGCTCACTCTTCAACTTCCTTCTGCTCAGATCTGGAGCAACAAACAACTGCATACCCAAAACTAGTGCCCCCCAGACATGGACATGATGCCTCATAGTCCAAAAGGGGAGGCCCCAAGCCACTGTATCCTGTCATCAGACAGCCCGAGAGCACACTGTGCTGCTTACAATGAATCTTTGCTCATCTGCAAAACAAAATCTAGCCCTCAAAGTGACCTGACGAGACGTTCTTACAAATCTCCTCTAACATCAGACACAGAGCAGGGCCAGGCCAGCCTGTGCCCTGCAGAAAAGGCACTGTTGCTCTGTCTCCAGCACGAAGCCCCACAGCCCCCACCTCCCACAGAACCCCTCTCGAGCCTGACTCACCACCACATTCAGCAGTCCTCCGTACGGCCCGATATCTGGCTGCCACAGCCCCAAAATGTGTCTGTATCGGTGAAGCACTGCAGGAGAGAAGAGGTAAGTCTCACTTAGAAGGAACGGAAGCTGCTGCACACTGTGACCCTGCCACGGAGGCAACCGGACAGCCAGTGCTGGTAACCACGGCTATTACCTTTGCACAGATGATATTGAGTGAGTGAGTGAGCGAGCGAGCGACTGAGCTATCAGAAGAACAGGCTGGCTTACGTGGGCCCTGACTGCCAGGTGTGGAGCCTGGGGTCACTGCAGGTTGCAGGAGCGATAGGCAGTTTTTGAGTACTGACGGCAGTTGGAGGTCAATCATGCAGGGCCAAGAAAGGCCAGGGGCTGGGCAACAGCTGGAGGTCACCAATCTGGTGCCTAGTGTTTGGTGGTTGCAGGTGATCTTCCCCATCCAGCTCAGACCATCACTCAGGGTCTGTAACAACAGGACACTGGCCACCAACCTGCACCTTTAAACCGCTCCTGAGTCTGCTACGACACACAGTGACGCTGGTCTGCTTACGTGATGGTCACACCTTGATGGGTTTGTGTTTGTTGAACAAATACGAAGTAAGATCAGGACCAAGAGCAAGTGCTGGACTCCAGAGAGATGCTCACACAGCCAGGCAGGAAACACACTCATGTCTGTACCTTACTCAGAAGTGATGGAAACTCAAGTCAATGAGGAGAGGGAGGAGGGCAGGATGGACAGATGGACAGCCGTGTGGTGGAAGTGCAGCAGAGGGTCTACTGAAGAGCCCATATGGAATGGGCTTCACTGTAGAACTCTCAGCTTTTCTGTGTTTTCAAACTTCAGTAAGTATTGGAAAACATCAACAACACGATTTAGTGAGCACTTCTATCCTCCCCTCAGCTCCCCATCTAACTGCCAGCAGTATCTGCTTCTTTCCAAAAGCCAGCCCCAGGGAGCATGTTAGAACACTCAGCACTCTCAGTTCCAAAGTGGAGCGGGCTGCCTCTGTGCTGAAAAACAGCAGCTTAGAAATAAGAATGTAGCTTTCTGAGATGCCTGGCTAGCCACACAGATCTCCCTGGGTTCTCATGCTCCACTAGGGTATTAAGAGTCAGTCACAGGCAGCACAGGCATTCATCTATAACTCCAGCACTCAGGAGGCTGAGGGGAGAGGATCAGGAGTTTGAAGCCAGCCTGGCCTACACAATGAGACCCTGCCTCAAAGCCAAAACAAAAACCAAAACAAAGAAGAGTCAGTCTAGCCCTCTGTGTACCAGGGCCACCAATGGGAAGCTGGTTGGCTAGGCTAAGGTGACACCAGCACAGTGCACAGAGAGGAGGTAAGGTAGCCCGAGCTGTGAACACACTGACCGCGAGGGAAGCACGTGCCCTACGTGTGACGCCTATGTCTCACGACACATGGGGAAGAATGATGTCACACCGGAAATGTGGCCTCACAGGCAAAGCTCTCACAAAAGCACCTACACTCATTAAAAAAAAGTGAGCCCGTGAACTTATCTGAAGGAAGCCGGCATCCAGCAAATGCACACAAGGTTAGATGCACTAAGAAACCCTGACGACTTGCCTTGCCATTGTCAGAAACACTTTGCTAGTCTGTTTCAGAGGGCCTGGAGACAGTATGCGGTGTCTGAGTCTGGAGGAGTAGGTGACAGGGGCCCACCTCCCCAGACCACTTCTGAGGCTCACTCCACAGAGTAGCCACCAAGTCACCCCACAGGATAAGGATGGAGCAATCTTGTCAAGAGCATAAAAAGAGTAACCTTTTACCATCATTTATGTTGAAAAGTGGACAGAGTAAAGAAACTGCACTTCAGCACTGTTTCAGTAAATGCTATGACTCACACCCACTGGCACCTGCACGCAGTGACAGGGATTTTTTACAGATGGATCCATCTGGTGGCATATTAAATTACAAAATCCAGGGACAGGAAGCCTGCCTCCTTTACCTCCAATTCACATACTGAGCCATGAGTGCTGGAGCTGGAGGAAAAGTAGCCCATTTGTAAGAAATGAATTCTGTGGGCCCGAGGAGCAACTTTTCTCCAGCTGTGGGCCTACAGATGTTTTACGAAACCCTCAAACACAAAACCTGCCTCCAGGTGACTCATGTTCCATCCTGGGAGACACTCCAGAGCCCCAACGACTGGCCTCAGTCACCTAGGACAAGGTCTATGTGGTCCTGAAACAGCCAGAGACCCCGCCCCCCTCAACCCAAGAGCCAACAAAAACACTCTCCACCCTGGCCCCACTGTCTGCCCACAGCAAGATCACTGAGGAAAAGCAGGAAAGCCAGCACATTGGGCCCGGACCCCGCAGCGTGCAGAGTGCCCAGTGCTCTCCATCTGGATGATCACTGTCCCCATTGCAACTTCGTGCAACCACTCAGGCAGGTAGGTCTGTGCAGAATCGAGGCATTGAGTGGGGTGGCCCCATATGTCACTCTTGCCCTCAGGAAAGCAGAGCTGCAGTTAACTAGCCTCCTGCCCCTCAATGCAGCTGCCATAACTAGGACACAAGCAGAGATGTCACAGACAGTAAGAACCAGCAGGTGGCTCAGCCGCAAGTCTCCTAGGCACGGGCCCACAATGCCTGCACAGGGGCACCTTTCTGGTGTACACTTCCTGGTGACCTGTCACTCTCTCCATGCTAACATCCCAGTGTTAGCAGCTCTCACCGGATTCCGTTGTATGAGGCCACACCTCTCAGGATCAAAAAGGCTGTCCAGCTTCTCTGGACGGTGGGCAAGGCTACTTTCACATTCTACACAGCGTATTCTGGAGCACAGCCAGGAGGCCTAGAGCCCTGCACTATAACAGCTGACTTTTAGGTTCAATGCCTTGCAGTCACCATCAACATGCACAAGGAAAGGTGTCAGAGCTGCCACAAGGGCTGCTTCTCACCAACAGTCCAGGCAACAAGGCACACAATCAAGAGACAAAAAAGCGAAGGGACACCTCGAAGTGGCTGATCCGAGGTCACAAGACTCCACAGAGCTGGTGCTCAGCCCTCACGCACCAGCTTGCTTCTACCCGAGACAGTCCTGCATGCAGGCGGTGGCTCAGGCCCAAGAGCACAGGGTTCAGAGGATGTCACTGACTGGGAGCAAGAAGGACAAGGTCTCAGCTCAGGGAGCACTTCCAGTGGGCAATGAAAACGCAGGCAGCTGGAGAGCCCAAAAGCTCCACACACTATACAGGCTTGTAGACACGCCAAGACTCCACTGATACAGGAGAGTACCTGGACACCAAAAGTGTGGGTGCCACGGGCGCCAGGCCTGGTGGTGGAAATGGTTTTCTTTCCCACTGCGTGAAGATTTTCACAGCATATACGGGCCATGAGCTAATGGGCCAGTCGTCTAAATGTGTGCAGAGAAACACAACCCATATTCACAACTGGAGATCCTCCTTGTATTTTCTGAATCATCCAAGGTGAATTTTCCAAGGTATTTTCCTAACTCCACTCAAACCTTGAGGAGCACTGGTTCTCTGATCCCACCAGCCTGCAGCAGCACTGCCACTGCAAGCAGTGGAGGCTGAAAAGCGCAGATGTTCTAGCCTGCTTCCTGGGAGCACAGACATCAGTGCAGGCCTCTTCCTGGGACATTACAGATCCCAACCCCAACTAGGGAAGAGCACCTGAAACAACTCGGGCTTCCTGGGCCAGGTGTGAGACTCCCCAGAGGTGGGCTGGAATTCCGTTCCAGGAGAATCGTGCAACAGAGAGAGGCAGAGGAAACCACCAAGAGCTGGACTATTTCCACCTAAGCCAGGCTGGTGTGGCAACACAGAGGGATTAATTGTTCTCACTGATTCTCGCCATGTCAACTGATCCCTCCCTTGGGGCTAGGGAGGACCTGCTGTTTGGCTGCCGAGCAGGGAGAGCTGGTGAGCCCAACGCAAAGTGTTCTGGAGAGGCTGTTTCCAACATGGTGTGGTACCGTACGTGAAGAACAGCACTCCCATGTTGAAAGTGTGCCCACCCCCTCGGCTCCTCTTCCCTTATCATCGACTGACCTCCCTCAGTGAGCTCACCTCTGAACATCTGTGCAAGCAAAGGGTCGTCAGTGGGTGCTCACACACCACCCGGGACCCGGGACCATGCTCAGCACATCCAGACATCTCTGCAGTGAGTGCAGAACTGTCCCCAAAGTGAGCAGGGACCCAGTTGTCAAACCACAGCCATCAGTCCAGAGCCAACAGGACATGAGGGAAAGCTGCTTCAGTAGGTGTTGTTAGAATGGACATCTTAAAAGCCAGCAGGGGGTCTGCTCCAAAGAGACCACACTGACACGCGTTACTGTGCACACTCCTGGCAACTTCAAAACAGCTTTCAGTGCAAGCGAGGTGGCGGCGGGGGGCTGGTTGGTTGGTTGGCTGTGTTTGGAGATAGGGATCTCCCAAGGCATCCCAGGCTGTCCTGGAACTCAGGATCCTCCTGCCTCAGCCTTCCAAGTGCTGGATCACAGGCATGTACCACCACGCCCAGCTGCAAGCAGGTATTTTTTAATCTCTTTTAACAACTGAAATTTAGAAAGTGGAGAGGGCATTAATTTCCTGCAACTCTGGCTCGGGAGGATGATCCAGAGCTCAATCAGATGCACTTGATTCCGAGGATCAGCTGCTGCTAGGGTGCCTGCCTTGGTGGGTACACGTGCACAGGGCATCTTTAATCCGTATCACTGTTCAAAAACGATTGGCTAGTAAAGCTTAGAAATTCAGCTTGTTTTTTTTTTTTTTTTCAGTTCTGGGGATAGAACCCAGAGCCATCTTTGCAATGCCAGACAAGTGTTGTGTTCTCAGTCCTTTTTTTTTTTTTTTTCTTTTTTGCAGCACTGGGGTTTGAACTCAGGGCCTCATGCTTGCTAGGCAGGTGTTCTTATCACTTGAGCCACTCTGCCAGCCCTTTTTGTGTTGGTTATTTTTCGAGATAGGATCTCTTCAACTATTTGCCCAGGCTATCTTTGAACCGTGGTTCTCCTGATCTCTGTCTCCTAAGTAGCTAAGAATTCAGGCCTGAGCCACTGGCACTGGGCCCTGCATTTCATTTTCGATTGTTCAAGTTTAAAGCCCCTAACACTGTTCTCTTCCCTACGTGAATTTTTGCAGTAGCTTAAACAACAGATGCTGAAATGCACCCCCCACCCCGAGCCAGAGTGAGAGTGACCTGGATTAACGCTGTTGAAGACCCCAGATGCTTCTGCAGGAACTAACCCATGTGTACAGCTGTCCATGCCCCCACTCAATGTGACCTGTCCTGGAAAGTCACAGAGCAACACCACAGCAAAGTGGGAGGGCAGTGGAAGCCAAGAGGCCAGCCTACTTCGGAGTCTCGCTGTCGGTCGGTGAGCCAGGGCCCTCCAAGCAGCTGTGCCAAGCTCACACGCAGAAGCAAAGCCAGTGGGAGTACGTACGGCAGGTGTAAACATCTCTGTACTCCATGTGCTCGTAATCGGGCAGAATTTTCATGAAGCGTCCCGACTTCACACGAGGATTTATACCTGAACGGACACAGCAGGGAAGGCTAAGGATGGCTCTGCTCTTCACAACCATGTGAGCAGTTTTCATCTGACGCAACACCCCCTTCCTCATCAAGACTCTATCCTCATGGACCCACCACCCAGCAGGCTGGGAGGCCAGCCGTGCCCAGAGGACACTCCATGCCATGCTCCGCCCTTCACCAGAGACCTCCCAGCAGCTCACAACAGCCTCAGGAGACCTCTCAGACTCACTCACTCACCTGACCCACCCACCGCAACCCAGTGGGGGTGGGCAGGAGCGGCTGATGGGAACCTGGGGTGACAAGTAGGGCCCAAAGCGGCTTTGCACTTCCTTTTGCTCTTGAGGTGTGTGCACTTGTTCCCAGCCTCTTCACTCACAGTCAGACCTGCCACTGCTCAGGCTGACCAGCTCAGCTACCTTGACTTCAGCCACCTGTCCCCAAAGCTCAGTAGTTTTCTCCCAGATAATTATGGCTTTCATAACATGTTCACAAAAACAGTTCCTACACTATTAAAATGAAAACCAAAATGTGCTTTGGCTTATGCAAAGTGAGCACTCCGGGTGCATCTGAGAGCATTTACAAGGAGTCAGGAACCAGCAGGGGAGGAACCCTCGCTCGTTCCACCCTGCGCACAGCCACTCAGTCTCTGAACCACCTGCACCCACAGCTTCTCCCAGGGGACAGTGGAACACAGCTAAGACAGGCTACCATGTGAGCCCTCCCCTGGGTGCCACAGGATAATGTGACACCTGGACAGGCACCCAACCTTTGTCCCTGCAGAAATGGGGCTGCTGGTGCCTACACCTCTTGAAAAGAAACCTGTCTCCTTGCTGCTCTGAAATGATGCAGGTCAGGTGGCCAAGACACATCTGCTGACACTTGTGGAAACCACAGAGCGGGAAATGGGAAGGCCACTGGCTTTGAGGGAGGGCAACTGGATAAAGAGTATGCTGGGGGGCTCTGAGCCCTTGGCAAAGGCCAAGGGGCCCTGGGAAGGTAAGACTTGAAGAAAGAAGACAGGGGCCGAGAACTCAACTTGCTTGCAGAAAGTGTGATGCCCAGTGTGAGGCAGCCTCTGAAAACTGCAGGAGTTGATAGAAGGCGCCATGCCTACTTCCCAATCTCTATGAGCTGTGTACACCCTTCAGGCTGCAGCCCAAAAACCTCAGGAGTTGTCTTGTACACAGCCACATTGCTCAGATCTCATGGTCTCTGGTAATGGATACAGGGGCCATAGGGCAGGAGTCACTTCTGTTCCACAACACAGGATAGCTACGGTTGACAGCAACTGTTCCTTTCCAACAGACAGAGGACAGAATTCTGAATGCTCCCAACACAAAGGAATAAATGTCTGAGGTGACAGATATGTCAATCCTGCTGATCTGATCAATACATTGGCGCAGACATGCAGCTCAGCTGCATTGTGCCCCTGTAAATATGCACGTTACAGATCACTTAGAAATTAAAGACATGGCTGGGGCTGTAGAATGCTTGCCTAGCAGGTGTGAGGCCCTGGATAAGATTCCCGGCACCACCAAAAAATAAATAAAATATATATTAAATAAATAAACAAAAATGCAGGCCCTGCTGCATCACAAAAAGAAACCTTCGGCCACAATGGACTGAAAAGTAAGGTCAGTGGCAAGTCCAGAACAGGAAGAATCAGAGTCCCAAACTTTAGAGTTATGGCTGCCAGTAACAACTGAAACTGGAGATGGTGTCAGAACATGGAACAGAGGCCCACATTACTTCTGTCATTTGTCACTGATGCTCACTGTCTGCTTCTGGCACAAAGTTAGTGATGGAGGAACAAGGAAATTAACTCACGCTTCGCATAGACGTCTCGACAAGACACGCCTGTGATCTCCAGCTTCCGCAGGTTCTCACAAACGCCATACTCTGCAAAAGAAACATTTGCTAGAACTTAAAACCAATAAACCACAAAGCAACAGAGACAGGTGGAAGACAGAGGGTGGCAGGAGAGGGGAGGTCAGGAGGGGCCTGGCCCTGGCTATCACCATCTGAATCTGCCCTTCCCTGTTGCGACTTTGTGTTTAGCTGCTGCCCAGCCACCAATGAAGCCACTGATTGCTCACCCCCAGGGCCACCCTCAGTGAGCAGCTGTCTTCAATACCTGTTCCATCCTGGCTTACGAGAAAAGCGTGACAGAAATTCAGCTGTCTCAAAATGGCACCATTCCCCATGAAAGCAAAGTCACTGGCATGTTAGGACTCACCATGCAATTATTTCTGTTCAACTCAGCCACAGGACCTGTCATCAAGAACCCCGTCGAGATGCTGGGAAGAGGAGTAGGACATTCCATGTCCCTTTTACATCAGACTGCCCTGGTCCTGAGCAGTAAATGAGCTCCTGATACATTCCCATCTCCTCCATTCTCACACCCTCACCCCACCAACAGAACCACCTGCTTCTTCCTCTCTAGTCCTTACTGACACTTACCACCTCACCACGTTCCACCAAAACCTCAGGCCTCTAGCTCAGGTCCTAGGGGCTTTGGGAACAGCACCATAACTGTACTAGTTCACGCAGCCACAGAACTGCCTGCTGGCCATTACCCTCACTGACAGCTGCGCCACACCAAGCCCAGCAGGGTACCACTATGCTCACTCCTGCCAGCATGCCCCAGGTCCCCTGACATCTCCATTTCAACACCGAGAAAACCGGTGCAAGAGGTGACACAGCCTGCATCAAAGGAACAAGAGCTTACAGTGGTCAGGGACCCAGACCTAGGCCAGATGGCAACACCTCCCCAGTGGTGTAAGGAGAGGGGTCCTGGCTCCACGATGACACCATCCTAGCTCGAACTTCCCATGTCACACAGTGTGCATGTCAGGTGGTATGTCATAGCACAACCTCCACGGTCAGGACTCTGGCCCCACGCAGGGAAGGAAAGCAGTCCTGTGGGCCAGGGACGCACTGCTCCTTCTCACATCACTCTAACAGCACTGAAGCTTGGCCTTTCCTCTCAATAAGACAGCGCTGTGAGCCCCAGTGCTGAGAAAGCAGGCAGGATCCCGCCAGCATTCCCGGGAAACTGAGTACCCAGGGCCAAGGCACTCTGGGCAAGAGCTCTTTGCTGGGGCCAACAGGGTTGACAGCAGCCACCTCACGCCAGACCCCAGGGCCCATGCAGAATTCCATGTTGCCGCTCAGTTGTGGCTGAGGGCCACACTAAGAGAGGATGCGGCAAGACCCCCAGCACCACTGGAGGGGATAGGTAAAATGACATTACGATACACCCAGCACAGACAAGCATGGCCACTGCAACTGTGGCCCTCGCTGAGGTCTTTCTTCTCAATCCCTCGGCTTAGGAACCTGCAGTGTGCACGCACTTTCGCACACCCCCACTGGACAGCCATGGTACACGTAAGCCACATGGGCTAGTGCTGTCACCCTCGGCAACACCAACCCAAACACCACCCAGGACATCAGCCATTTTCCCCATAGCTCCCTTAGTTCATGGTCCAGTCTACGTACATTTCCTTTCTTAATGAAAACAACTCCCAAAGAGGTGCGTATCACTGTATATATTTGTAATCCCAGCAATTTGGGAGGCAGCGATCTGGAGAACTAAAATTCAAGGCCAGCCTGAGTCCCAGCTACTGGGAAGTCTAGGTAGGAAGTTAGCAGTCCAAGGCAGGGCCTGGGCAAAAAAGTAAAATAAATCTGAGCCCCCATTTGAAACAACAGACAGACACGGTGCCTCACACTTGTAATCTCAGCTACTCAGGAGGCAGAGACAGGAGAATCGCAGTCCAAGGTCAGCCCCAGACAAAAGTACAACACTCTACCTGAAAAATAACTAAGGTAAAAAGAGCTGGGGCATGGCTCAAGGGGTAGAGCACCTGCCTAGCAAGAGCAAGGCACTGAGTTTAAGCCCCAGGACTGTCCAAAATAAACTAAGAAGCAAGCAAACTGTAACGCATAACGTGAGACCTGAAGCACCTCATGAGCCCCTAGGCTTCCACAGGAGCCCACTCTCCAGCTAACTGATGCAACATGAAAAGGAGCCTGTACATCTGTGCTTTGCCTCATTGCCTAGGGGCCTCCTGGGATGCGTGGGATGCCTGACACAGGCAAAGGAGTGGGAAGATTTGTTTTTGTGGGGGTGGAGGGAATGTCTGAAGTCTTGCTGTGCATCCCAGGCTGACCTCAATCTCCTGCCTCCACCTCCCAATGGCTGGGAATATAGGTGTCACCACACCCAGCTCTGGCAAGATTTCTTGAGTGAGATTGTTCTGAATGCTGGAAAAGTTCATAAAACTTTCTCTAAGGGTTTCACTGTTGTCCAGGAGAGCTCTCCACCTATCCAAGCTGAGAACAGCAGGAAAAAAGGAAGAAGCAGGTCTTAATGAAAATGTTTGTTTCGAGGAACTGGGGAACACAAGATGATGAGGGACAGTCACAGGGCGTTTCAATAAAACAACACCCCATGGATGGAGGAGGACAAAAGACCATCCATTCTGGAACTGTGAGATGGGCTACAAGCACCTAGAGTGGTAAGCTGTTTTCATTTTTTGTCTGAAAGGTAAAGGGCTAGGTTAGGCTAGATTATCTCTAACATTCAGCAGGTCTAGTTGGGGAAAAAAGAATATTCATCACTAAACATCTGCAAATGGAAACAGGACACAAGACCTTATGGTAGGAGGAGATCAGGAGACAGCAGGCAGGCTGGGGTCAGCTGGGGAGCCTGGGAGTTGGGAGCTGGCAGCCTCTGTGCAGCCCTATTAAAACCTGGTCTCAGCCATGTGGACACAGCACAGTCTGCACTTCCAGCTGATTGCTGGCGGCCAGTTATTTCTGCAAAGTCAGCTGGAGGAAGGGGCTGAGACAGAATGCAGCAATGTGGACCAGACCCAGCACCTTGGGACCAACCTTCAGGAAGAGGCTTATCACTCTGACACTGGAATGTTGTTTCCTGAGTTCAAGTCCTGTGCAGTCCATGACTGAAGATGATGGAGCAGGAGTTAAGAGTAAAGTAAGCCCAAAGCTTATTGAAAAGACAAAGCACCCTGGTGAGTGGAACGTGGTGAAAGAGTTAAGCAAAAGAAAGGCTTAAGTCTAGGAGATGATATAGGGCACTAACTAGCTTAGGTCCAACTATTCTACCTCAAAACTATACTTGTGATTGGTTGGCACCAAGACAGCTTCCCTGTCCGTCCCTCTCATTATGGACATTCCAGGAGGGTCTAGTCAGCTCGTCCTGGCCTTGGGCCCAGTGCCCACACTGTGCAGCTGCATCTTATACTTTGGTGGGAGGTTTCTTATTTCTCATGTTTAAAAACATGTCTGTTTTTAAAGTGCCTCTCTCATCCAAAATGGAGTCACCTCTGTCACTGCTCCCCTTACAACCCAATGCAAAACTCAAAGGGTCTCTTTACAGTGTGCAGCTCACTCTGCACAGACTGACTCCAAGAATCAGAACCATCACAAGCACAGACACTCAGTGTGACTCTGGACAAGCAGGGTGCACAGTGGGGGGCGCGAGGGTGGGGGAGTTCCTGTGAGCAGTTAAACCTGCACACCTTTGGCTCTGCTTCATCCCAAAGGTCTACAGGAACTTGTCAGTGTGAATTTGCTTGGTGGGAATACTCCAATGCCCAAACCACAATCCACCAGCTACTCGGGATGATCCAGAGGCTGGTGCATGTCCAAATGTACATCCACTGGACCCAGGGGTATACCATGCGAGCCTATAGCCCTCTATAACCAAGTGCCAGCTATCAGAGAGGATGTAGGAACTACAGCTAACTTCAGAGAGGAAATCCAACCACTGATATAATTCAGTTTAACTTTGCAAATTAGACATAAAAAAAATTCTTCCCAGTGTAGTGGCACATACCTATAACCCTAGCAGTCAGGAGTCTGAGACAGGAGGATCACAAGTCCAAGGTCAGCCTGGACCACATAGCAAGATCCTGTCTCAAAAAAAAAAAAAAAAAAAAAAAAAGGTGGGGGAAGTAAATAAAAATTTCTTCTCACAGGCCAAGGATGTAGTTCAGTGGCACAGCACCTGCTCAGCCTGCATAAAGGCCCTGAATTTTATCCCCAACACCACCAAAAAAAAGTCATCAGGCAGATCACCCAGTAATCACAACCCATTAACAAGACTTCAGGCAAGATATGGACAGCGTCCACAGTGGCAGCCATTCCACGGAACTTGGCTCTCACCAAATAGCCTAGGACTGCAAGGTGTTCACACAGCACTTCCCAGCATGTCACCCTCTGGAAGTTGCATTACATGTCTACACTGCTGCCTCCCTGTCCCTGGCAAACAACGCTCAGACACAGCTGGAAATCACTACCAAGAGAAGGCTGCCACAAAGGTTTCACTTAAGTGTGACCTTCCATTGCTCTCAAACAGAATGAGGTTAAATTAATCAAGGTGAGAAAAGGGTCCCTATTCCATGACAAGACATTGTCATGAATGTAATCTCCTTGCCCTTGTGATGGAAAGGCCAAAGAACCAGGAGAGGGAGGCAAAGCAGAGGTAGAGGTCAGCCAGGCCAGGGGTGGTGAGGCCTGACTGTGAGAAGGAGGGGAGCCACAGAAGGCTCTGAGCAGGGGTGACAAGGGTGACAACCTGCTCAGTCACTGTTACCGTCTCAACTCCCCAAATCAATGGCCTCCGCTTCAAGCAAGTGTTTCCTAACACCCCCAAGAGTGCTGAAGTCAAAGTTAGGAAAACCACTTCACGCACATTATTTGCAAACCACAAGCAAGGCCCCAACTGGACTATGATGGAAAAAGTGCAACTCAAGTGCATGGGCGCACCTGCCCCAAACCTGAGGGTCCAGAGAAGCCCTGGGCACCCTCTGAAGTGCAGTGCAGTGTCTCAAGCCAACCACTCACACCTGCTGAGTCAGACTCTGCTCTGA